GAGGAAGCACCAAATTCCCCCTCCCTGAGGCACTTCAGGGAACGAAGCCCCAGATATTCACCCAGCTCATCTCCATCCAAACCACCCCAGGGCTTCACCTCCGTGCTATTTTAGCACCTGAAAATTCCATCCTCAAAGTCATTTCTGCTCTTTAAACCTGGAATTTGGTGTGTGGTTACAGGAGAGGCTGGTGGAGGGAGAAGGCAGAAGAAAGAAGGTTTGAAAATTTCCAAAGAAGTGAAACGGAGCCACAGAGCCAGAGTGAGGTTTCAAAACTGTGTTAAAAGACATTCCTCCTCAAATGGTCTTTGCTTGGATCAATATGTGAATAAATATTCTGAAATTGCATTAAAAGAGTGGAAAATTGTTGTGTAGATTATTGGATTTATGCAGAAGAGAACACATCCCAGTCCAGAGTGGGAGCAGCAGAGAAGGGTCTGCTTTGAGTCCTGCAGGGACAATTTGGATGTGACAACTTTTGTTTCACGTGTCCAGACAAAACCTTGGCCTCATCTCACTCCCCTCTGGGTAAAACAGCAAGGAAACTTTGATAAAAGAATAAACTCTTTTGGCATTAACTCTCCCCTGTCCACCAGTGGTCTGTGGAAGAAAGACTTTTACTGCTCTTTTTTCTGGTTCAGTCATAAAAACTACATTTATTTTAAAAATGTATTTACAAATTTTACAACAATCATTACATTTTTAAAAACCCACAAAAATGTGTACACCTTGCTTTACAGGTTTAGTGAATCGTGTGGCGTTCACCCAGAGAGCTGCAGTCCCTTCCCAAAGCTCCTGCTCTCTGCAGAGCCACTTTAAAGCTGTATTTTTTACTGATTCAGTTGCAAAGGACTAAAAAAACCCCCAAACATTGTATTTGCAGTCTGCAAAAGTGGGTTTGCACTGAAACCACCAATCCAGGATCCCAGAACACACAAAAACTCCATCCACAACACCCAAATCCTCCTGAAATCACAATAAACATGTCCCAGGGTTTAGAGTGATTAAACCTTTGTAACACCACAGTGAGAAAAAATATTCAAATGTACATTGGGGTGAACTTTGGAGCTGCTGAGGCACTTCCACCTCTGCCTAAAAATACAAACCAGCACCACATGGACCTGAAAATTAGATTTACACCTCCTTTGAGTAACCTCTGTAGTGCCCAAACTGTCCTAAAAGTGCTTTAATTAATGTTCAGAAAGAAAAATCAGGTGAACCTGGTGCTTTTGAACACCATAAAATCACATTATTTGTTTATTTTTCCTCCCTGCTGTAGTCTTTGGAAAAGCTTACCCTGGTCCACCACAGGATTTGGTCTGCAACAGTAAAAATAAGGTCAAGTTTTTAATTAAAATAAAAATAATCAAAAGAAGGTAGCAGAAGCAGGTCAGGAATGTTTTCACTATACAAAAAAAAAATTAGTTAAATTACAGATTTAAAGTTATTATTTCCATTTACAACAGTAAAAATAAATAAGGAGAGGAAAATCTGGGGCGTTGTCACTGCAAGTGCAACTCAGTGTGAGTCTGGAGAAAGCCTGGGCTGGGGCAGGGACCTGATGGGATGCAGGAGCCCCAGCAGCCCTGCACATCCATCCTGGAGCTCTGTGCCACTGCAGACCACAGAGCTGCTCTCCCTGGAATCCGTGTCCTTTCCTAATCCAAGGATCCACCGAAAGGCAAAGCTGCTGCTCCCCTCTGCCCCTGGTGTGGATTAGAGCCTGTCACATTTTTAAAGGAATTTATCACAGCACGACAGATTTTAATTAAAAGCTCCAGAAAACAAGTGTTGAGCGTATTTCTCCAAAGGAGAAAAACTGAAATCCTCAAAGACTTGAAATTTCACAGCAGCTTTGAAGAGCTTGGCTCTGAAATGGGATTAGGTTTTGTCTCCTCTGCAGAGGGCATGTTTTAACTTTGAGATTTTATTCAAAACCATGAATTGGGCAGAAATTGCTGACATTTGTGGTGTGCAGAGATCATCATTATGGACTGTCCTGTTCCCATTTTAAACCCTTCAGCTGAATACACATTAGAGGCATTTCCTAAAGCACCCAATTAACCTGAAGAGATTATTCTTGTTTAGAAAAACAAGGTAGAGACATCTTAAATTGCCTCTGAAAACGAAATCTCACAACTCGAGTCAGGCAGGTACCCAAGCAAAGAGCAAACACTTCACAAAATCACGGTTCTGGTGAGATTCCTCCCAAGAGTGGGCACTTAAATCCACTTACTTAAAATCAGGGGAATGCCCTGTTCTTCCTCACACTCAAATACCCAATTGCCTTTAAAAATCTGACACTTGGATTATTTTTTTTCCCCCAAAACTGACCCAAAGCCCTGAATCATTTGGGCACAGAACAGAAATTCCATCCTGCACCTCTGAGCCAGCGATGCCAACTTCCATCAGCCAGGTAAGAGAACTGGACACCAGTCTGGGGACACTGCCAAAAGGAGCAGGAGTGGGGCAAGTTCACAAACTCTAGAACATAAATATTGTTGAGAAGGGAAAAAAACCCAAAAACCCAAAGAACCAAATTTAGAGCCCCTTCTGGCAAATTTGCCAGTGAAAATACCCAAAATGCCCTGGAAAGAGAAAACTTGTTCTGAACTCTTTAGTGTCACTGCCCCTCTCCTCCCAGTTCAGAGGGTGCCCATCCCAGTGCCCATCCCAGTGCCCAGCTGGGCAGGCTCAGGGAGGGAGAGAAGCCTGAACTTGTGAGCAGCAAACCCAGGTGAGGTTTATGGTGAGAGGAGCAATTCCAAGGCAGAGCAGAGCTGAAGGTGGCAGCTGCACTGCCCAAGGAAGGGAAGGAAGGGAGGGATAATTCACCACCGACGTGCCACAGATTCTGCTCAAAATCCTGGTCTGTAACTGCAAAAAATGCAGCCAGAGCCAAATCTCCCCGAGTAAAAGAGAAAAAAGCTGGTTGAAGATCAGCTGAAAAACTCTTCCCAAGGTCATACCTCCTCCTGTGAGTGTTTTCTGCATGGAGCTTTCCTTCTCCAGGAAAAAACCTGGATGCAATAGGCACCTCCGTATGTTAATGTTGTTAAAGCAGAACAAAAAGGCTGGAAAAGAGGACTCCAAAGTCACTTAGAACCAGAACACCCAGACCTGACAGCTCAGTCTGTTTGCCCACACCAGAGAAACCATTCCTGGGATCCCTCCTCTGCCTCTGCTGATCCTCTCAAGGAGTTAAACCCAACCTGCCTGAAAAGCACCCAGGACTGAGGGCAGAGGCAGCTGCAGAGTGGGGAAAGGCACTGAATTAACAATAGGTGCTGTTAAGATGCACTTCAGACAACTCAGACAACATCCTGTTGTTCTGCCTGAAGCAGAATTCGCAGCCCAGACACAAAGCTGCTTTTGAAGGGAACTTTGAGAGGATCCCGGGCTGCGTGAGCACAGCAGGAAGGGAGAGTGCACAGAAAATGGAAAGGCAAGAAAACCCAGTGGCTTTCAAGTCAAGCAGTGTCTGTGTCCAAGAACACAAGGAGGAGCTGACATGTCCCACAACGCCCCAGAGAGGGGCAAAGCTGCCCAGGGTGTCCAGGGAGAGTCCCAAGATCTCCCCTGAGAAGCAGCAGCCCGGAGACAGCTGGAAGTGAGTGCAGCAATCCGGCTGGGGATGGATGGGATGTGACTGCAGTGCCACCTCCAGAGCAGCTCCAAGCTGGAGCTGATGGGAATGTGGGATGACTCTGGGATGAGGGCAATCTGCTTTCAGAGCTGGGCAGGCAGCACAGCAGCTCCTGCAGTCACACCGATGTCAAAAGAATTGGGAAGGACAAAAGAAAATGACAACTTCAGTCTGAGCAAAACCCTCCTGGGGGTGGTTTTTGTTGGGTTGGGTTTTGTTGGGTTTTGTTTTCCCTGAGAAAGCCTTTGCTGAGGAAACTTTTCATTAGGTTTAACAAACTTTGGTTTTTCAGTAAGGTCAGAAACCCATTTCAGTCAGCGGAGCACAGTAATGGCCCGTGAGCCCCCAGCCCAACAATAATTGCATTTCCTGCTGTGAGCAACACCCTCAGCAGGGTTTTAGTGGCTCTTCCCAACTTCTACAAGATAATCAGAAGCAAAATCACAGAATGAACAAACAAAATTATTTCCTGGAAGAGAAAGCAAAATCTTCATCAATATTGATGATAAATAAACAGGCCACAAGCTGCTTATGGAACTGGTACCAGGCCAGCCCTGGTATCAGTGCAGGTGGTACCAGGGCAGCCCTGGTATCAGTGCAGCTGGTACCAGTCCAGTTCTGGTATCAGTGCAGCTGGTACCAGTCCAGTTCTGGTATCAGTGCAGCTGGTACCAGTAAAGCCCTGGTATCAGTGCAGCTGGTACCAGGCCAGCCCTGGTATCAGTGCAGGTGGTACCAGGGCAGCCCTGGTATCAGTGCAGGTGGTACCAGGGCAGCCCTGGTATCAGTGCAGCTGGTACCAGGCCAGCCCTGGTATCAGTGCAGGTGGTACCAGGCCAGCCCTGGTATCAGTGCAGCTGGTACCAGTCCAGTTCTGGTATCAGTGCAGCTGGTACCAGTCCAGCCCTGGTATCAGTGCAGGTGGTACCAGGCCAGCCCTGGCCAAAGTGCAGCTTCTGTCATCTCAGACATTCACAGAAGGGATTTTTTCCACCCCATTAAAAAGCACAAAATGAGATCTTGTACCAAACCAAGCACAAGCTGGGCAGAGACCCTGACCCAGGAAACTGCACTGCCCTGCAGTGACATCACCAGTGAGATCAGCCAGGACTCCCAGTTACACTGGGATTGCAGCAGTGACAAACTTGAGACAGACAAGACCAGGAGAGTGAAGAATTCCAGCAGGGAGACGTCGGGATTAGTGTGTCAGCGCTGCACAGGCAAACACACGGGAGGGAGCCCAGTCCCAGCCACGTCTCCTTGTGGCACTTCCCAGGAAAAGGTGGACAGGTATTTCCCAGGGGAAGAGCTGGAGTGGCAGGGGAGATCCCCAGGCTGGCTGGAGGTGAAGCAGCCACTGCAGGCTGGCGTTGCTGTGACCCCAAACGCTCAGGGCAGCCCCGGCTCCGAGGACACCACGCTGGATTTCCTGGCTTTGGGGGGTGGAGGGGGAGGCTTGGCCTCACGCCTGCTGGGCAGCGGTGGAGCAACCTGAGGAGATGGAAACACAAAATCAAACCTTTGCTGGCGAGTGGAGGGCGTTGTGCTTCACCAAATGAGAAACCCAAAAGGCCGTGATGGCTCTTCCAGGAGCAAACCTTGGAGCTCAGCCTCAGCTCCGTGCGACAGGGCCAAACAAGGACAGGTCCCCAGGAGACAGCAGAAGCTGAAATGTTTTAGTTGCTAGAGCAGGCCTAGGATAGACTTTAATTGCTTCTGACCTGCAGCCCAGCTTCAGCATTTATCCCTCCTTTTGGTCATCAGTAAAATGGCAACAAACCCATTTCCTTCCAGGTTTCAAAATTCAGCTTTTTTCTCCTGCTGGCTGGCTGAACTGCCCCGAAAGGATGTAAAATGTGTTCAAATCAGAATGCAAAACTCTACACCCTAACATGGAAGCAAGGGCAGCTGTAATTAAACAAGCCACATCCTGCCTGCCTGCCTGCAGAGGGGCTGGGAGGTTTCTTGATCTTGCAGAAATCTGCACTGAGGGGGGTTTCATGTTGTCTCTGCCTGTTTTAAGGGGCATCCTGTAAATAAATGAGATGGGAAAGGCCAGGAGAGTGAGGAGCTTGTGTGGTTCATCACTCCTCAGCCAAAACTCAACATTTCAGGATTGTTTTAACCAAAGGAATAGAGACCCAATTTTACAACAGCTAACTAACAAAACCCTTCATTCAGAAAACCCTTCCCAATCTACCTTTAGAGCCCTGTGAATCCTTTCCCTCTACCTTTAGAGCCCTGTGAATCCTTTCCCTCTGGCTGCCAGCCAAGGGGATGCTGCAGGCCAGGACATGGCAGTAATTAGTTCCCTTACAAGACTCAAGGGAAGGAGGCTCTTTTATTAATCCTCCTGATCCAGTGACTCCCACAGCATCCCTGGGGCTGGGGTCTCTCTGCTGGGTACAGCACCACAGCAGCCACACTCACTTCCAGCCAAATGAAGGGCAAAGAAGAAAAACTTTCCCCTGATCCCACATTTCAAGGCTTTATTCCAGTGTCACAACACAGAATTAAGTGATGAGCTGTTTTCTTGTCTTCCTGTGCTGCTAAAGCAGTTAAGTGTGATCCCTCTTCAAATTCTTTTTGGACAAATCCCAGTTTATCTCACTCAGGCACTCCCAAATCCTCTCTGTCAACCGGACTGGGGAAGACATCCCTCCCTTTCAATTGCAAAAGGTAACTCCTGACAGGCTTTGGGAACCCAGCACATCCCTCTCCCAGGCACAAAAGGATCCTTTCTTGCTTCCCACTGCTCAGGAATTAGGCTGGCATCCCCAGCACCTTCACTTCAGGGGCAGGTGAAACGATTCTGACAAAATATTTGCATGTCAGGGATTCCAAACAGCCTGGAGACACCAGGGTGTAAGAGAAACATCAGTGATACAGCACTGACAAAGGGCCAGCTTGATATTCCTGCAAGAAAATCACTCCATGGAATTGAGACAAAGGGCGGGATTTAAATACAGGCTTTTTAAAGTCACTGATGGCTTGAAAAATCAGTTTCTGCCTAGCTGAAGATTAGAAGGAGACATTGGAGACCTCTGAAAATTGTGATTTCCCCCCACACTTCTTTTTCAGCCCAAATTATTGCAGTATTTTATGGCTGATCATGTTTTGGAACTTTTGCTGCTGGTGTGTTTTCCATATCTCTTCCCACCCCCACACACTTTTTTCCTGACCAAGGACAACACAACTCCTACTTGGAAAAAAAATAAATAAAAGCACTGCACTCCACTGCCTTCTCCTGAAGCAAAAACCCATTTTTTCCTTCTTTTCTGGTTTCAGGGAGTGAAGCACTGAAATGATGAGACAGGTTTCAAGCAGCACCACCCTAAGATCAGCTTGCAAAGTTCCACTGGTGCCTCCTGCTCCAAAGCTGCTCTCCAAAAAGCTGTCAGTCCCCATTTCCTCACCTCCACGGAGTTCCTGGGGGTGCTGCTCTCGTAGGGTTTGCTTTTGGGTGGAGGGGGGGGTGGTGTGGCCAATCCATCAGCCTGAAGGGAGGGGGAGCCTGGAAACAACACCAATCAGAGGAGAAATAACAAAAAATAAGGAAAAAAAAAAAAAAAAAGAACAAATCAGAAATGTGCAAAAGGAAAGGGAAATGGGGTTGCAGACAGATTTTTAAGAAGATTCATTAAATACCCTATGGTTTCCATCTGTGAGCAGCTCCCTGCTCCAGCACTGAGCCTCCTGCATGTGCTGGGTCCCGGCTGAGTCCCCCTCCAGCTCCCAATGCCCTGAGGAGTTTCCCCTTCCCCAAAGGGCTCTGAGCTGCCCCAGGGAGCAGCAAACTGCTTCCATCAGCACATCTGGAGTGTTCTGGGACAGCCCCCTCAGAACTCACTTTGATTTTAACTCCAGCTGATGAGGAGATAAAGCCCAAACTTCAGAGGATTCTAACAATTAAACCCTTGGTAAGGAAGAGGTTTCACGTTCCTTTCACAGATCTTTCTTCACAGAGCTCCTGAATTTGTTTCTGGTTGTCTCCCCAACTCATCCCCTGCCCTGTAAGGATTTTTTTTTGTTTTCATCCTCTCAGGACAATTTCATGCTGGTTTAGATCATTGTCTGCACTGGGTTCTGACTTCATACCCACATAAAGACAGCCAGGTCCTACCCAGGAACTTCTGTTCCTCTCAAAAAGGAGCAGCAGACTGAGAAATGCAGCAGCCACGGAGTTCTAGGGCTGGAACTGCCCAGGGATTTTTATTTTTACCTTAAGCCACATTTAAATATGCTGCAGAATTAACATTTAAACTCTGCTGCAGAATTAACTATAGAACTTCCTGAATATACAAGAAAGGGCTTTTTTCCCCTCCCCTCTTCCAGGATCAGATTATTGTGCTGTTTTACATTCAGCATATTTTTGAAACCTTTGAAATTATTCATTTTGTTAATTCTTGAAAAGAAATTCCATCTCCTTCAGCTGGAACATTTACAGCTGCATGTCCAAGCAGCAGAGCAAGCTCTCCTAGAACTCTCTGCCATGTGATGGGAGTTACTGTTCATTAATTAACAGAACCCTCAGGGCTTGCATTGATAATTTAGGCACAAAGCTGATCACAAACACCGTGGGATCCCTGCAGTGCCCTCCTGGGGATCCACTGGAGATGCCCCTGCAGACCTGACTGGTGATTCACAGCCAGCTGCACTGATTGCATGTGCTGTTTGTCCCAGGGTTTAACAAACCTGCCCAAAATTCAGAGAGTCATGGGACAGGTGTCATGGGAAGGACCTTAAATCCCACCCAGTGCCACCCCTGCCAGGGCAGGGACACCTCCCACTGTCCCAGGGGGCTCCAGCCTGGCCTTGGGCACTTTAGGGATCCAGGGGCAGCCCCAGCTGCTCTGGGAATCCCATCCCAGCCCCTCCCCACCCTCCCAGGAAGGAATTTCTCCCCAAAATCCCATCTAACTCTGCCCTCTGGCAGTTTAAAACTGTTCCTCTGGGTCCCATCACTCCACACCCCTGTGAAAAGTCCCTCCCCATCCTTCTTGTCCAGGTCAATACAGGAGAAAACAAGAAAGGAACTGAGAAACCCAGAAACTGTTCCCCGGAATTCCTGTTTTGCACTGCTTCAACAGGTGATGTGCAAGCTACAGATTTGATCTTTGATACCACAGCCAAATTCTGTTTTCTGACAAAAATGATAACCCCTGTTTTCCTGGGAAACTGAGGCAGTGGGCACCTGGAATGCCCTGGGGACAAGTGGGGCTCCAGAGGCAGCAGCTGGGGTTCAGCTCCCACCGTTTGTGCTCCAAACCCCTGTCTGTAAAATGGAGTAACACTGACCTCCAGGACATTTTAAAAAGTATTTCCATGGAGTAAATCTTGATTTTTGAGATTTCCAAGAGCCCCAAGCTGTGATCGAACTCGGAGCAGCTCCTCCCTCCCTCCCTCTCCCCCAGCAAAAATAGAGCCACCCCCACCATATCCCAGCACAGGACTTACTCTGGGTCCGGGGGGTCTTGGGGGTGATGGGGGGAGGGCTGCAGGTGCATTGCTGCAGCGAGGAGCCCGGCAGCAGGGTCAGCCTGTTGTCTCCCAGCTGCAGACTCTTGGGCCTCTGTGCCTTCCCTGCCGTGCCCTGCTGAACAGAGACACAGGTGAGCACAGCCAGGGAACCCAGAGCTGTCACAGGGACACAAACCAAACACAGAGAGGTGAGCACAGCCAGGTAAATCAGAGCTGTCAGTGACACAAACACAGACACAGAGAGGTGAGCACAGAGAGGTGACCCAGAGGTGTCAGTGACACAAACACAGACACAGAGAGGTGAACAGGAGTGAAAGCCCTGCCCTGCCCTGGCTGTGTCAAAGGCACTCTCTGTGCTACCAGGACACAGCCCAGCTTCCCCTGGCACTTCCTGAGCAGTACTGAACTGCTTTTAATGGTATTATTAATGTAGTAGTTAATTGTATTCATTAGGGTGGGAAGATGTCACACTGAAAAATTGCTGGAGTTCTGTGAATAACGTTGGAGGGGAGTAAAGGTGAACTCTTTCCAAGAAATAAAGACAAAATTTTGGGTGCTGGTCAGGGCTGCTGGTATCCTCCAGCTCCTGAGGGCTGTGAAATGAGTCTATTTTAGGCTTTACAGAGCAAACCCTCTGCATTTGGGAATGTGCATCCAGCTCCTTCCAGTGTCACATCCTTTGTGCTCTTCACTCAAACCATGAGGCCACCTCAGTGTGGCCCCAGAAGTCCAGTGCATGAATGCTGGGGTCCTTTCCAATATTAGTTCATTGCTTCCCAGAGCAGGCTGTCACCCAAACACATAATTATTGTTTTTCAGAGGTCAATTCTCCATCCCTGAGCAGCTCAGGATTTCTCTCTGCACAGAAGGGACCACGCACTGGCAGATGTAACACACAAAGCCCAGGCAGTCTTTGCTTCCCTCGGGCTTTCCAGCTCCCAAACAGCTCAGCCCAGAGCCCAGAAAATCCCTCTGTCCAACTCCTGTTCTCACTGTGGAGCCATGGAGCAGAGCAGCCATAAAAGCAGCTTTTCCTGGGCTTTGCAGCATCCTGAGGCAGGACTGGAACCCTGGATGGCTCCTTCCCTTCAGAGATATTGGGGATCTCATCCAACAGCAATTCCAGAGGCAGAGGGCCAGGCCTCCTGCAGCTCCAACATCCACAACCCCAATTTTCCTGGGCTGGAAATGCTGTCAGTACCAGTGACAGCAGCCTGGCACCACAGATCTCCTTCTTAGAAACACTCTGCAGCCTCCAAGTGCTGGCAAGCACCCCTCAGAGATGATGAGAATTCCTGAAAATGGATCAGCATCACCTGTCCCTGCCAGATTCAGCTGGGACTTGGGAGAGGAAAGGGAAACACAGGAATTTGTGTTTTCTCGTTACTGTGAAAAATGAGCCTGTGCTAAATCAGATTAGCAACCAAGTTCAGTGAGATGAGGAGCACTGAAATACCAGGTGCCCAATTCTCTCAGTTTGAGGGTGTAGCACAGTTTTTTTACATCCATGAGGACAATGCCCTAGGATGTAACACAGTTTTTATGTCCATCAGGACAATGTCCCAGGGTATAACACAGTTTTTATGGCCACCAGGACAATGTCCCAGGGTGTAACACAGTTTTTACATCCATCAGGACAATGTCCCAGGGTGTAACACAGTTTTTACATCCATCAGGACAATGTCCCAGGGTGTAACACAGTTTTTACATCCATCAGGACAATGTCCCAGGGTGTAGCACAGTTTTTACATCCATCAGGACAATATCCCAGGGTATAACACAGTTTTTACATCCACCAGGACAATGTCCCAGGGTATAACACAGTTTTTATGGCCATCAGGACAATGTCCCAGAGTGTAACACAGTTTTTACATCCATCAGCACAATGTCCCAGGGTGTAACACAGTTTTTACATCCATCAGGACAATGTCCCAGGGTGTAACACAGTTTTTACATCCATCAGGACATTGTCCCAGGGTGTAACACAGTTTTTACATCCATCAGGACAATGTCCCAGGGTGTAGCACAGTTTTTACATCCATCAGGACAATATCCCAGGGTATAACACAGTTTTTACATCCACCAGGACAATATCCCAGGGTGTAACACAGTCTTTACATCCATCAGGACAATGTCCCAGAGTGTAACACAGTTTTTATGGCCATCAGGACAACATCCCAAGGTTTTACAGCTCTGCCTGTGGGCTGAAATTCATCCCTGTGCTTTGGGTGATCACTCTGAACCCCACTGTGAGCCTTAAAGCCCAACGGCCTCTGCTCTGTTCCTCATCCCAGCTCTCTGGGGGTGCACATTCTGGTTTGGTCCTCAAGCAATGACCACCCTGCCCTCACACAGGGCTGCAGCAGAGCACAGCCTGGCAGATCCAGGTTCCCAGAGCTGGTGACTGAACCACCAGAGCATCTTCTCCCAACTCCCTAATCCATCCAAGGGCTCTGCACCTCACATTTGATTTGTGCTGTGCTGTTGCCTGAGAGCAGCTCAACATCTGGCTGGGCAGCTGGATCCCTGCCTGGCTGAGCAGAGGCTCCTTGCTCCAACCAAAACAGGGGTTTGCCCTTGTGCTGAGAGCAGCCCAGGGCTCAGCTCTGCTCAGCACCTCCTGCTGCCAGTCTGCACCTCCAGCCAGGCTGCAGTTGAGCCTGTGACAGGAATTTTCCAAATTAAAAAAAGAGAATTACTCAGATGACGGAGGCTTGTTGGTATTTGAACCCCTCCCACTGTTTAATGAGGCTCCCCCTGACCAGCATGGCTGAGAGCAATGGAAACACTCAGCTCCTGCTGTGGTTTTATTATTGCTGTCATTATTCTGATGGGTTTCTTACCATTTTAGAAGTCAGTTCTGTTTCTGGCTCCTTCTCCACAATAACCTGAGACTTGCTAATGCTCCACTCCTTCCTCTTGAGTTTGCTAATCCTGTTGTCACCATCATCTTTCACAGGCAGCTCCTCAGCTCTGGAAGAGGTGGATATTCTCCTCTCCAAGAGAGGCTCCAGGGTGGATCTGTGGCCCAAAAGAGTGAGAAAAACATGAAACATGAGTCCATCAGACATGGAAAGGGCTGTTTGTTAAAAAGCTGTTTGTGTAAGGGATTACTGTGAAAAAGTGAGGCAGGACCATGGATTTTTCAGTGGGATTTGTGCTGTTACCCCTGGAATTCTGAGTGTGATGTGGTTTTTGTCCAAGGTAAAGTGTGATCTGCTTGCAGAGGGAGCCAGAGCTGCAGTTCATGCTCAGCCATGAGTCTCACTGACCTGGAGACTAAAATCACCTGAACTCTGGATATGCCAGCTGTAAAGCCCATGAACAGACAAGTGACATCAGGGGATGTCCCCAGGTAACACAGCTGGGGACACGCCATGGATGCAGCTGCAAACAGGGTGAAACAAGTGCTGTGTGCCTTATTCCCCTCTTGGCTGACCAAAATAAACCCCTTTGTGGTGCCTCACACCGCTGTTTTCCCAGGAAACTGAGGCAGTGGGCACCTGGAATGCCCTGGGGACAAGTGGGGCTCCAGAGGCAGCAGCTGGGGTTCAGCTCCCACTGCTTGTGCTCCAAACCCCTGTCTGTAACATGGAACAGCAACACTGACCTCCAGAAACATTTTAAATGTATTTCCATGGAGGAAATCTTGATTTTCAGAGCACCTGATTGTGGATGTGACAGTTTAGTCAGAGAGAGAAAGCCAGATAAACTTTCCCAGGAATTGTTCTGGGGAGTTTTGAGAAGGCTGAGAGAAAGAATTAAAACAATCTTGCAGCTGGTGCTTTGAACAGTTGTTTTCTCATTAGATGTTTACCAAAGGGTGTCTTCTTAATTAGCCAATGGTGTGAGGGGTGTTGATGAAATGACCCATCAGGCCCACCTGTATCAGGAGGGTGTGTAAAAGAACGGGTTTCTAATAAACTGGGATTAGCCTTCTGAAGAGACCCAGAGCCTGTGTGTGCCTCACTCCTGGTCCTGCCCCAGTGGTGACACCTGATCCTGTCTAAGGCACCTCCCCCTGCTGCCAACAAGTGCCAACCATTGCCAGCCACTGCCAATCAGTGCCAGCCACTGCCAGCCACTGTCAATCACTGTCAGTCACTGTCAATCGCTGCCAATCATTGCCAACCACTGCCCATCACTGCCAACCACTGCCCGTCACTGTCAGTCACTGCCAATCATTGCCAGCCACTGCCAATCAGTGCCAGCCACTGCCAGCCACTGTCAATCACTGTCAGTCGCTGCCAATCATTGCCAGCCACTGCCAGCCACGGTCAATCACTCCCGACCACTGCCAGTCCCTGCCAATCCCAGCCAGTCCCTGCCAGCCACTGACCCGTCGGAGCCGGGCCTGGAGGAAGCGCTGTCGGACGAGGTGGACGAGGTGGAGGCCACGGAGGAGGCCACGGAGGTGACCGAGAGCCTCCTGAGGGTGGAGGACATGATGTAGGGCAGCACCACCGAGCCCGACCTGCTCGGCTTCCTGTCGGTCAGCGCCGGGGGCTGGAAGGGAGGGGACAGCGTGAGCAAGGAGGAAACGTGTGAGCAAGCAGCAGATGTGCAGCAAGCCTGGCTCTGCACAGGGCCTGGGCAGGCTGGGCCCAGGGCCTGACCCCGGGGACACCAGGGTTACAACAGCAAGGGCCTGCATTTGGGTACAACCCCCAGGGTGGGGACAGAGCTGCTGGACACAAAAGGACCTGGGGGGACAGATAGACACAGCTGGACATGAGCTCAGGTGTGCCCACGTGGCCAAAAAGGCCAAAGGCACCTGGGTGGGATCAGGAGCAGTGACCAGCAGGACCAGGGCAGGGACTGTCCCTGGGCAATCGGGGAGGGCACACCTGGAGTGCTGTGTCCAGTTCTGGGTCCCCCCAATTCAGGAAGGACATGGAGGGGCTGGGGGGAACCCAGGGCAGAAAACAGAGCTGGGGAAGAGTTTGAAGCACCAGGAGCTGGGAAAGGGGCTCAGCCTGGAGAAAAGGAGGCTCAGGGGGGACCTTGTGGCTCTGCACAGCTCCTGCCAGGAGGGGACAGCCGGGGGGTCAGGCTGTGCTCCAGGGAACAGGGACAGGAGGAGAGGGAACGGCCCCAGGCTGGTGGATTCAGGCTCAGGGTGGGCACAGCAGGAATTTCTGCATGGAAAGGGGGCTCAGGAACTGCCCAGGGAGGCTTGGAGTGCCCATCCCTGGAGGGGTCCCAGGAAGGGCTGGATGGGGCACTCAGAGCTCTGGGCTGGGGACAGGGTGGGCACTGGGCACAGCAGGGACTCCATGGTCTCAAAGCTCTTTCCCAACCCTGATGATTCTGGGATTCTGTGACACCACCTCACACCCACCCATGGGTGGAAAAGGTGGAGTTAGGTTCCTCAGGGGCAAAACATGGAAAAACCAGGTTCCCTCACCAGAGTTATGACCCCGTACTGCTTCTCCACCTTCCTCCTGAGCTCCTTGAAGCAGGCTGTGAGCCTCTCGTGCAGCGGCTTCAGCTGCTCCGTCAGCTTCTCGCCGTGGATCCGGATCCCCTCTGCCAGGAGAGGCATCTGAGGGAGGGTGGGAGGAAGGAGCAGAATGAGCTGCAGGAGCACAAACCAGCCCTCCTGCTCCCCAGAGTGCGAGTTCAACAGCTCAGGTAAAAATAAAGCGTTTAAATCAACGTGTTTTGTGTTTGCAGAGGAGAAAATAACCAGTGACACAGCAAGGGAGCTGAGCTGCTGCCAGTGAGGGAACTTCAGTGCTGGACTCCAGGTGCTGAACAAACATCAGCATTTTCCCCAGGCCAGGCTGGATGGGATTTGGAGCAGCCTGGGATGGTGGGAGGTGTCCCTGCCCATGGCAGGGGTGGCACTGGATGGGGTTTAAGGTCCCTTCCCACCCAAACCATTCCAGGATTCCCTCTTCCCTCCCCCAGTGCCTCCAGCTCTCTCCCAATTCCATACCTGTATAGCAATTTGTTGCTTGAGCAGCTCAATTTTGTCTTGATCTTCAGGATGTTCTTGGAGATATTTCTCTGTGAAGAAGGCCTGGAAGCACAGAGAGAAGGTAACACAGGTGACATAGGTGACACAGACCCTGCTTCCTCAGGCAGCTTTGAGGGGAAGATCCTTTAAAAGCAATTCACTGCCATTATTCCTCATATTAAACCCCAATTTTACTGGCACCAAGCTGAGGGACAAAGAACCAGGGTTATTTGTCGGGAAAAGGGAACAAACCCCACTTATTTATTTTTAAAAATTACAGTTTTTTTCCTAGTGAAACACATGGAAAAACAGTTACTGCATCAGAAAGGTTTTCTCAGTCCTGATCCCCTTCTCACAAACCAGCACTGATTTGAATAACTGAGGTTCCATCACTTCTACTTCTCACTTAAATGTGAGTGGCAGACTCAAAACCTCAAGTTCTGACTTCAAAAAGCCTCTGTGTTTTCCAGCAGCCAGTGCCCCACAGCACACAAGCACAGCTGCCCCAAGGAGAGCAAAGCAGCTCCTGCTGCAATTTCCTTATTTCAGCCCCTAAATCCCTCGTTTTCACCTGGGGCTGGTTACAAAGATTCAGTAGAAATAAAGACCATGCTGGGATTCGGGCTCCCAGCTTCCTTCAACAAAGCACCTTTAGTCTCCACTTCTCCTGAGTTTACCTTTAATCAGCACAATCTGGTCTTGGTTTGAAGTTGAACAAACACAAATCCACTTTCCTGGACTGAAAACTTAAATTTGTGCCAATTCCCATGATGTATCCCATTAAAATGGATCCCAATTCCTGCTCAGAATAATTTTTTTTCCTGGATAAACCCCCTAATAAGTTTTTCATTTGTCCCTCTGAGCTATTTCAGCCTCTGAGTATATTTTTTTTTTACTTCTGTAAGACTGGACTGTGGTACAAGTTTATAGGGCTGGGGGTTTGATCCTGAACAGGACGGAGGTGAGCCTGGGAAAAGGCTGCTGGGTTGGTCCCAGAGGATTTTCCTTTAAAGTGCTTCATTATTGCAAGAGGAAAGATGTTTAAAAACCCCAACTTTGGGTTTTGGCTACCATGAAACAATTAAAACTCAGATTTTAGCCGCCCACAAAAGCCAAATGTTCTGCACTGATCTGCAGCTGAAATAGGAAAATATGAACCAGAAATGAGTAGTTCCAGATGTGGCTGCAGAGATTTTGTGTTTTCTAGTTTTAACTGCTTTCCCACTTCTGTAATTCTAAACTTGATGTCAACCTTAATTCATAAAATGGGAGGATTCAGGGCCAAATTCAGCCCTGGCAAAGCATCCAAACTCCTCTGGAATCAGCAGAGTTAGACACCAGATCAATCAGGCCCTCTCCCAATTAATTGTGCACCTCATTTCATGGGGTTGGGTCACAGCTGAGGAGAATTAAAAGTGGTTTGCCACATTCCCTGTGCTTTGTGGAAACCAGCAGTGCTGGGGATTTCATCATTAGGTGGAGGGAATCAACAGCTTAAATTAAACATCACAAAAAAGAACAACCTACACTGCTCAAGTGAAGTCAGCTGAGTAAACCTGTACAGGAAATGCTGCTTTTTTCCTGAATCATTTGCTCTGTCACAAGACCCCAAAGACACAGAGGCTGCTGGCAAGAGAAAGGCTCTTCAGCCTTCTCATTCCCTATTAATGCAGGGGGGAAAGGCCAGCTCTGGGCTTTTCTGTTACCTGGGCTGCCTGAGCCCCTCTGTGCCCCACAAGGCAGGAGCAGCTTCTCACCCCACTGCAAAGAAGGCCCAGAAGAGCTGGATCCTGCCCTGAGAGCACTACAGCTGAGCACTTCCACCCTGCAGTCAGTGCAAACCTCTGCTCTGTCCTCTCCTCCTCCTGCCTGAGCTCTGCCAGAGCCCCAGGCAGGGCTGTGACAGCTGGAGATGGAACTGGACCTGCCAGCTCCTGCCAGGCCTGGCACACTGCAGGGTCCAGGAGCAGCTGCAGCTCACAGAGTCTGCACAGCTTTGGGCTGCAAGGGACTTCAGGGATCAGGGAGCTCCAAGCCCTGTCCAGCCTGGCCTTGGGCACTGCCAGGGATCCAGGGGCAACCACAGCTGCTCTGGGAATTCCCTCCCAGGGAACAATTCCTGCCCAGTATCCCATCCATCCCTGCTCTCTGGCAGTGGAGGCCATTCCCTGTGTGCTGTCCCTCCATCCTTTGTCCCCAGCCCCTCTCCAGGGAATTCTGGAATGATTTGTGTTGGAAGGGACCTTAAAAGTCACCCAGTGCCACCCCTGCCATGGGCAGGGACACCTCCCACTGTCCCAGGGGGCTCCAGCCTGGCCTTGGGCACTGCCAGGGATCCAGGGGCAGCCACAGCTGCTCTGGGAATTCCATCCCAGCCCCTTCCACCCTCCCAGCCAGGAATTCCTCCCCAGCATCCCATCTAACCCATCTCTGGCAGTGGGAGCCATTCTCTGTGTCCTGTCCCTCCATCCCTTGTCCCCAGTCCCTCTCCAGCTCTTCTGGAGCCCCTTCAGGCCCTGGCAGGGGCTCTGAGCTCTCCCTGGAGCTTCTCCTCTCCAGATGGACACCCCAGCTGTCCCAGCCCTGCAGAGGGCTCCCTGGACGTGCCAGCACCTTCTCATAGTTGGTGTAGCCCCCCATGACAGCGGGGTCCACGATGCCGTTGAGCAGCATGGACAGGGGGTGCACGGGCAGGCTCCGGTCCCAGCTGTGCTGCTGGACAATGTTGGTGATCTTCTCATTGGTGAGCTCCATGGTTTCTATGGCATTCTCCAGGGGGCTGATCTCCTCCTGAGGGACAGAAGAAACAGAATGAACTTTCTTTACAGTCACAGAATAAACCTCTCACACCTTCATGCAATTTTTAGGGAGAAATCCTTCTCTGCGAGGGTGGGAGGGGCTGGGATGGAATTCCCAGGGAGCTGTGGCTGACCCTGGATCCCTGGCAGTGTCCAAGGCCAAGCTGGAGCACCCTGGGACACTGGAAGGTGGCCCTGCCCACGGCAGAGGGTGACACTGGATGATTTTAAGGTTGTCCCAACCCCAACCCTTCTGGGATTCCATAGTTCTGTGATTCATTCCTCTCCACTGAGCAAGAAACGAAATAATTTGCTTTTATCTGTGCCACATCCAGCAGTAGAAGGACTGGCATTCCCAAGTGCTCAAGGCTTGGTGCATGAGGGATTGGAGAGGAGGAGATGCAGCCCCGTGGAAAACTCACCGTTGTGACCTGTTTGACCTCAAACCACTTGAGGATGCCTGGGAATGAATAAGCTGTGGTGTAGGTTGTCCTTTCTATCCACATGTTCTGGTCAGAGAAGGAAAAAAAGATATCTGAGGTGTAAGGAAAATACTGGCCTTGCAACTGAACTCTCTCCTGCGTGGAATGAGGCTGCCAGAAGAAGCTGTGGAGCTCCACAGCCATGCCCACCTCCCTCCCTGGGAGGGAGCCCCAGGCTGGGCTCTGCTGAGCCTGGGCTCAGCCAGCACCACACTGCTGATTCTGATGGATGCTGAATGTTCCAGCTCCAGCTGTGGAGCCCCCTGGCATCACCCCCAACTTCAGGTGGAGCCTGCAATGCCCTTTGTGTCTCCTGCTTTCTCATTCCCAACCTCTGCGGCCACAGGGAGAGGGAAAAGGTGACACTTTGGTCAAAATGCCATCCACAAAGCAAACAAAAGGCAAAGGACTCACAGCGAACTCGTTGTCTGGATCTTTCTCTCCTTTCCTGACAGGTCTGGAGTGAGTGAACTGCTGCACCTCGTTGGCTCTGTAGTAGCTGGGAAGAAGCAGAGTAAAAAGGTGATTTTCCTCACCTCCCATCCTCCCCACTCAAATGTTCAAGTGTTTCCTCACAGTTTGTGGGGAGGAATTTACACAATTTACACAAGATACAAAGGCACAGCACCTTGTGCCCAAGTTAGTGGGGAAAACACACACAAAATGTTGAAGGAAAAGAAAAAGAAATTACTTTAAGATCTGTTCAGGAACAGGTTTATCCTTATAATTAGGTGGCAGGTTCATCACAGGCTTCACAATGAAGCACTGCACATCTGAGCAGCTCTGGTTAAGGATGAAAAGCCAGGAATCCTTTTGGGAAAACAGGAGAGGGAGAGAAAAACCTTTCCTGTTTCCATTGTCAGGCTTTTCCACAAATCCCTGTGCTCTCGTTAAGTATTTTTCTTCAAACCTGACTAATTCATCACAAATCACAGGCATTATGTTGCATCTTGCAGTTTGTAGGCTCCTTGTGAGTTAAAAACCCAAAAAGAAAAGGACTTTACAAATAACAATCCCAGAATGGTTTGGTTTGGAAAGGACCTTGAAATTCATCCAGTGCCACCCCCTGCCATGGACAGGGACACCTTCCACTGCCCCAGGGTGCTCCAGCCTGGCCTTGGGCACTTCCAGGTGCTGAAATTCCCTGAAAATGATTGGGAATCCTCAGCACCACTGATTTCTCATTTGGGAGACAAGAAAAAGGGCAGCAAGGCTCTGCAGGAGGCTCTGTGGGTGCATGTGGCTCCTCTCCACCCCACAGTTATTTATATATACAGAGGCTGCTGCTCCTTCCCTCCCACTTTTTAGACTCATGAAGCCAACTGAACAAAGGAATTGCTTCACATCAGCTGTTGTACCTGTGAGTAATGACAGACATTAAAAAGATCTCAGGAATTGTATCCCCAAGCACAACAGCTCATCATATTCCTCCAAAATTCTGCTCTAAGGACTGTGCTGAGGCTTTACAGGAGCAAAAACCTGGCTGGAAAAGCACGGCTCAGCCAATCTGACCCACCAGGAGATGGTTCCTGTGAATGCCCTGCCTTCTGAGGTGGCAGGGTTTCAGTGGGGGGTTAAGGCAGCCCCCACACATCCTTCAGTTCTGAGGCAGCTCTGAAGAGCATTTTGAGAGCCAGAGCAAAGTCACCCTGGCTGCAGTGAGGAGCCAGCTGGCCCCAAAGCACAGAGGCAGGTGAGCTGAGGCTGAGCCCAGCTGGGAGCCCTGCTGAGCCCCTGCACAGCCCCCTGTGCTCAGCTGCTGGGGCTGGGCTGCTTTGGGGTGCAGGAAATCCCAGAGGCTCAGAACAGCTCACCTGGCAGCCCCAGCACATCACTACCAAAAGAAGAACGAGGTATTTTGTCATAAAAGAGCAAAAAACGGCCTAAAGAAATAGAAAAGAGCCTGAGGCAACGGAGGTTAAAGGAGCCTGAAAGTAAAACCAGCCCCAGGAGCAGCAAGGTCTGCCTAAGACAACAGAGATCTGGGCACTCCTCATGTCAGGAGGTGTTTGTGGAGTGCAAGGAGATCCTGTCCCACATCCAAGCCCTGCAGCTGCTCCCTTCATCCCAGGGCTGTGCCAGAGCCCCGGAACCCAACACCCCCAAACCTTGGGGACGGTTCAGATCTGCCTCCAAACTCTGCAGCTCGGGCTCATCCCGAGCCAGAAACATCACAACAAACACAAACAGATGCAAAGGAAGCAGCTGAAACAAAGCAGCAACAGAAGAGGCATTTTTGATACCAAGTTTGATCTTGAATGGATTTTAATTTCCTCTGTGGATTCAGTGCTTGGCAGGAGCATTGCACAGGAAGCATCTGCTCTCACTGCCTGGGCTGGGCCTTTGTGCACAGGGTTTGAGGGCCAAAATGGACCTTCAGATTCTTCAGCCTGGCCTGGTGAGCACAGGCTGGAAGCCCAGGACTTGGCTCTCCTGGAGCCACTGTCTGAAGTCACTGGCAGCAATCTGGAGCATCTCCACTGGCTCCCACTCACAATTCAGAGGATCTTAAGCCTGGTGGGGAGCTTGGGACACAGCTTGGAGTCCCACCAGCAAGGGGGAAAAATAAGAATTAAAAAATAGTAAGAGCTCTGCACCCAACAACTTTTAGTGACATAATCACTTCACACTTCTTACAAAGGGACTTTCAGGGGAAAAACTCCAGCACTTCATAAACGCTAATGGACTGCAAGGAAGAAGGGAGCACCCTTCACTTTTCACAGCCTGCATTTCCCTTTTTTCAGCCAGAAATACCCAGCTGGGTCCCACCATGGCCAGAGCAGCCAGCACCACCTGAGTGAGAACACAGGAAACTCTCCCTGCAGTCTGTTCCTTGCCTTGACAGCAACTTGTTTAACCCTGACAGCCTCAAACAGCCTTTAAATCCACCCTTACAACCCTGGCTAGCCCCATTTTCATGCCCAGTGCCTGCCTGAAGTAATAATCCCCTCGCTTCCCACTCCTGCTGTTCACCAGCTGTGCTGCTGCAGGGAACAGGGAGCTCTGGGGTGTGCCAAGATGCCCCAAACCCAAAAGATACACTGTTTGGGGGAAGCCTTGATCTCCTCTGCTGGAGGGGCTGTGCTGGTCATCTTCTCAGCACTGGGGAACTGGGTCAGCAGCTTCAGGTTAAAATCCTCCCTCCGCTCGTACTCTTTGCCACGGTAGATGAAAATCTTATTCTGTGGGCAGGAGAAGAAAAAGGGAATTAAAATTCAACAAAGCAGTGGGACAGAGCTTCCCAAAGCCCCCCAGAGCTGGTTTATGGGAAGGGGTGATCCCAGCTGGACAGAAGAGGTGAGGGAAGGAACACGGGCTGGAATGAGGGCACAGCAGCTCCTGGGAGCCAGGCCTGGCAAGGGGAACCTCAGATTTGTGTAAAAAATCCATTGCTCCACAGAGAATCATCAAACAGAGCTGGAAAGGAGCTTTTAAAGGTCACCTGCAATGAGCAGGGACACCCTCAAACACATCCCAGAGCATGGGCTGCTCCCACCTCCCAGAACCCACGGCCTCAGCACAGCAATCTCAGCCAGGAGCTGGTTTTTAGCACCACAATAAATGTGCCAGGAAATTCTTAACTCCAGGGACCTGCCTGCTGCCCGCCAGCCCTGGTGTGAGCTCCCTGAGGGATGTCCCTGGGCACAGGTGGGGATTTCCCCTCAGTGCCATTCCTGACCAGCAGCACCCTCAATGCCAACCCTGGCAGGTCTGCTCACACACCCAACACCAGACCATGGCCAATTTCCCACCTGGCAGTGGTTTCAGGAAGGGATGGATTCCAAAACGTGGCCTGGAGTTGAAATCCCTCCATGCCATCTCCTTTCACAGTTCTAACTTAACATTCTTCTCTTTTTTTTAAGCTTGGCTTCCACTGAAGACCAGAGCTTCAAAGAGCTCCAGTCTGAGAAGGTAAAATGGCCCTGAATTTTAAGTAACAGGAATATTTCCAGCCTTGCTGACCCTGGATCTGAGTCATTCCTGTCCTCCACACAGATCCAGCAGTGCTCAGCAGCTGGAATAAGAAGCACCTTTGCATTTGAATTCTTCTGTATGGGACAAACTCTCCCTGACCACTGAAATAATCTCTGTCCTGAAAATTTGGTTGACTGAGGCTGAAAAGCAATGGGATAAATTAAATTCTTCACAGGCTGAACATTTTCTAACAGCAACAATCACATTTCAGAGGGAGCACAAATGCAGAAGGTAAATTCTGCTTAAATCCATAGAAGAACTGATCAATCATCTAAAAAACCTCTTGTAACACCCAGACTCCACTTGAGCTGGTAACACACCAAATTTCATCTCTGACTTGACTCTTTTTAGACACTGAAATGCTCTGAAACACTCCTGGGATTTAGATCTGTCAGTGCCACTGAAAGGAAAAGGAGTCTGGCACTGAATTTTCTTGGAAGCTCTGCAGAAGTTGTGACTTTTAGGGTCTCCAGCACTGCAGAAGCTGAGTGGGGAAGGATCCTTACCCGCAGGAAAGAGGGAAAACCCTGCCCATAGTATCCAACAGCGAAGTACTCGGGCTGAGGTCTCATGGCCTTCATGATGTTCTCATAAAAAGTTGCTCTTTTTTTCTGGAAAAGAAAACAACAGCACACTTTGGAATACTCCAGGGCATTGCCAGCTGACATTCCCAGGGACAATTCCTGAGCTCTGCCCTCAGAACACACTTCACAACTGCTGTTTGATGCAGTCTCTCATCCTTATCCATTTACTTGATTAAATATTTGCTTTGTCTGGGCCAGAACCAACTTCATTTCCTGGTCTGCAGACATGAGAACAATGCCATGGCTTTAGGATTCCAGAAGGATATTTGAAATCCTTCACTGGAGGAAAACAAATGAAACACAAATATATTCTGAAAGAGAGCAGTCACAAATGGTGACAAATGTCAGAGAACTGGCAGAAATAAAACTGGGCAGATGATTCTGCTGTGAAAGAACATAAAGACCATCTGGTTCCATCCTTAACCACTAAAAAGCAGAATTCAGAGCCAAGAGGATTCTCTAGCTCTGTGTTCATGCCCAGCACTTTTACCACAGAAATAACAAGGTGATGACATTTATGGAGCCTGAAAATACACCCTGGTTGTTACTTCATTTGGTTAAGATCAAGAATTCTAAACATCTGCACATGGTATTATCATGCTAATTAGGAGGTGAAAAGACACTAGGAAAATATTTATTCTACTACTAACCTTTACAAAGCCATGGGGTTAAGTTGGTTTGTTTGTCTTCAACATACATTTATTTTAGGCTTATCCTGCTTGAACAGTATTAATTTAAGCAGTCAGCAGCCTGCTGGAAATGGAGGAAAAAAGCCTTACCAGGAGATTACCAAGTCCCTCGTAGTCAAAGACCTTGTTCTCATACATGTCAGCCAGCTCCTTGCTCAGCTGAATGGCTTTTTCCCACATCTCCACAGAGGGTGAGGACAGGCAGGAGGGGGAAGAAGAGCACAAGCAACATGAAAGACTCAGTTAAAAGCCTTCATTAGCACAGACAGGTGAACAAGAACACAGCTGATTTTAATTCAGGCTCTACTTTCATGCTCTGCCAGCTTTCCCTCAGACTCTGCTGTGCATTTGGGTTTTTTTTTTTTTTTTGCAGGGATTATTACAGTCATACAGATCTTGTGACCTGGAGATCTGAGAGTGATTTATAAAGCCAGGTCTCCACTGAGGTCCTGGCAGGACAAACTAAGGCACTGGGAGGAGGAAGGACAGGTCTGAACAGCAGAGAGAGAAGCACAGGTGGTCTCCTCCAGCAGCACTTGGACAGGGGTTCCTTGGCTTTATAACTCATCATGGAATCATGGAATTTGGGTGGAAAGGGACCTCAAAGCCCAGTGCCACCCCTGCCATGGGCAGGGACACCTCCCAGTGCCCCAGGGAGCCCCAGCCTGGCCCTGGCCACTTCCAGGGATCCAGGGGCAGCCACAGCTGCTCTGGGAATTCCATCCCAGCCCCTCCCAGGGAGGAATTCCCTCCCAAGATCCCATCTAAATTTCCCTTATTTCAGCTCAAAGCCAGTCAGGCTGGCAGAACCCTCTCCCCAGGGTGCAGCTCCCAGGGTCAGTGCCAGCCAGGGAAGCCTCTCTCCCTGCAAGCCCAAAACCTGACAGGAGCCCCTCCCAGGGGAAGGAAGGAAAACACCTGCCCTGCTCTACCCAGAACCTTGAACAGCTTCGCCTTCCAGACACTCTTTGGCCAATACAGAAATAAATAGCATTTAAATATCTCCAGACAAACACATGCCCTGCTGATGGCAGTGCTGGGATCCCTGTCAAAAACCCAGCCTGGTGTGGAACCACATCTGCTTTTCAACCCCAGCCTGCCCCAACCACTGAGCCCAAATTCACCAGCAAGGAAATCCTAAATCCACCCCAAAGTGAATCTGCCAAGGCAGGGCTTGCTGCAGGAGCAGCAGCAAGGAGGGTGAGACACTCACCTTGCCCCTGTCGAAGAAGGAGATGATCTCCTGGTAGAGCTTCTCCTTGAGCTCCTGCTGGGAGTACACGCAGTAGGAGTCCCTCTGCAGCAGGTGAGGGACACAGGGCTTCTCTGACCACTGGGACAGGGCAGAAGGCAAAGGTGAACAACTAGAACACTTCCAGACAAATCCTTCCAGGGTGATCAAACCAAATCCCTCATGGAGGCAAAGGGAGGGATATAAACCTGAGACATTCTGGCAGGGATATAAACCTGAGACACTCTCTCCCAGCTCACTGCAGCAGGAGCACGCAACAAAGTGATGCTAATAATGACTTTTCTTTTATCATTATTATTTAATTATATAACTTATTTTATATATGTTATAATATACAATTATTATATGTGTATATCATATATGATTATTTATACCTCATTATATCATTACATATACAACTATATCATTTTATAGATATCATTATATATATCATAGTTATAACTATTTTGCTGTGGAATCCCCAAGACTGTGAAGCCCCTCAATGACCACTGGTACCTACATGATTCAAAGACCATTATAAGCAGAAAAAAAAGTGCTTTGGTTATTCTGAGCTGTTTGTGCCCCATGAAATGCCAAGCCCTGCATACCTGGAGCAGCTCAGCATGCAGCAGCAGGGTGTAGGCAGCCTCTGTGAAGTTCTCACAGTCTGTGTGCAGGTCCCTGAGCTTGTACAGATACCTGAGCAAAGCAAAGGCAATTCCTTGGTGTGAAGGACTCCTGCACCCCGGGAGCTCGGAGGGAACAAAGGCTGGCTCAGGCTCAAGGACACGGCCTACCTGATGTAAATGTCCTCCCGCTTCTTCTCCTTGTAGAAATTCTGCCAACAAGAGAAAAGTCAAACACTGGCAATGCAGAGCACCCCAGATTTCAGAATCATCTCTAGACAAGTAACCTGAGCAGCAGTTTTAGGCAATTCAGGGATATTTGCTGTCATTTTGGCTGGATGGTGGATCCATCCCTGGGACTGGCCCTTCACACCAGAGGGGCACCAGCACCTCCAGAAAGGGACAATCAGAGAAATCCCTTGTCTAAAGTGATACAGGCTCTGTGCAGGGCCACAGGGATCCCAGCCACTAGCCAGGCACCTTCTCTGCCTGTGTTCCAGGGCTCCAGACTGGGCAATCAGCCAAGGACTTGACTTTGGACTGTCCATCTTTCTGTGATTACAGCTCCAGAGCCTGACTTGAGCACACCATGAACCAAAAATGGCAGGAGGCAGTCATTAAAATCCTCCTCTAGATCAAAAAATAATCCCAAGGGGGTCTAGAATCCCTCAGGGAGGGGTCCCCAGCTGAGGGGGGGTGCCCAAAGCCCAGGGAAAGGGTCCCCAGCCCAGAGGAGCTGTCCCCAGCCCAGGGACATGTCCCCAAAGCTCAGAGGAGCTGTACCCAACCCAGAGGAGCTATCCCCAAATCCCAGAGGAGCTGTCCCCAGCCCAGGGAGCTGTCCCCAAAGCCCAGATGAGCTGTTCCCAAAGCCCAGATGAGCTGTTCCCAAAGCCCAGAGGAGCTGTCCCCAAATCCCAGGGAGCTGTCCCCAAATCCCAGAGGAGCTGTCCCCAAATCCCAGGGACACGTCCCCAAATCCCAGGGACATGTCCCCAGCCCAGGGCCACGTCCCCCCGTACCAGCACGTTGACAGTGCAGCTCATGCGGTTCTCCTTGCTCTCATCGTGCATGATGGTCCTGTAGTCCAGCAGGTTCTCCAGGAGGCTGCTGACCAGCAGGGCAAACACCTCTCCAGGGGCTGCCAGGTACTTGTGCTTCCTGCAGTGCTCCAGCAGCCTGCAGGACACAGCAACGCTCAGCTGCCCCCCCCGTGCTGCTGAGCGGGGTTTGGGGTGAATTCCCCAAAAACTCCAGCGTTTCCCTCAGGGCTGCACAGCCACACCTGAGACAGCCAACTCAGGCAGGGCAGGACAGTGCTTGCTGGTCAAAAAATTGACTTTTTGTGGCTAAAAGCTCCAATTTTGCTGTAACTTTGAGCCTTTGACTCCTTTGAACTAAGTACCTATTCTGATTTCATTGCTTGCTCAGCACTGTTCTGCATTCATGCACAGGAAATGAAGTCAGTAAATGGCCATAAAGCAATCCTTCCCAGAAGGACCAGATTACATTAAAGCAGATTAGATTAAAATAAACATTTCATACATTTCTTGTCACTAAAATTCGTCTTTAGAATTAGATGAGTCTGCTGATTACATGGAATACTCTTATAGCAATCTTAAAAAATATATGGCAGATTCATTACTCAATAATTTTCAAAAATTACCCAATTACTTCCACTTGCAGCCCCCTGCCCAGTTTGGCAGCTGACTCTGAATTCCATCTCCAGTTTAGGGCAGTTATAAGTGCAGAATAAACCCCTCATTTTAGGGCAATCAGCCCCAGAACACCTGCACAGCCCTAAGATCACTGCAGCTGCAGCAGCTTCCTGGAATAATTAATGAATTAGGGCTTCTTTGCATTAGGAAAGCAGCCCAATAAAGTGTGAAAAATATATAATACATATAAAAATAATATATATAATATATATATTTTATATAATTATATATACTATATATTAATATAAACAGTATATCATATGAATGAATATAAAATAATATATAACAATATGTTATATAAATTAATAATAATTTATATTAGAATTTATTATTACAATTATTATAATTATTCTTTTATAATTTATAATATATAATAACATATTATATAAATTAATATAAAATATAGATAATATAAATAATGTATAATGTAGAAATAATATATATAATATAAATAATATAAAAATGTAAAATATAAATAATATATTATATGAAATAATACAAAAGTATAATATATTGACATATATAATATAAAGTAATATAAGCTAGGATATATATAATATAGCAATAAGATAATATAAAATAATATAACTATATATAAATATATCATATATAAAATATAAAATAATAAAAATATATCATGTACAAACAATATATATAATATGAAAGATATAAAAGGAGCCTCCAGGTGCTTTATAAAACTCACAGTTTCTCCAGCAGGACCTTGTACTGCTCATCCCCTCGGCCCCCCTCCACCTCCTGGTCCAGCCTGGTGATCAGCTCATTCTCAAACTGGAAAGGCAAAAAAACCCAAAAACCCCAGTCACACAGAGAGCAGGAGCAGGGGCTGGCCCCAGACCCAGCCTGGGGGTCCTGAGCCTCCCCAGCACACACAGCTGCCTTTGCAGGCCAGGGTCAGGCTGTTCTCAGGATAAAAACCCAAATTGCAGGATACAAACCCAAACTGGAGCAAGGAAGTGCAATCCTCCCTCTGTCACCCCACACTGCTCTGGTGGAACTGAACAACCACACAGCCCTGATCTCTGACTGCCCAGCAGCTCTTGGGCTCTTGGGGGGGACTGATGTTGTTATTCTAAAGGTAAATAAAGCTAAAATGACATTTTAGACTCTCTGAGGATCTCCAAAATCTTCCCAGTTCAGAGGTGAGCATTGACAGTTCTGCAAATGCAGGGAAGGGTGAAAAAATGGGAATTCAGGGATTACCAAAGTCATGGAAAGGCTCAGTCAGGACAGAGCTGGAAAGTCCTGAACCCTACAAACCACAGGGACTTCCCAAGGGGTTTGACACAATTTTGGTGGGATTTTTTTTTTGTTTTGTTTAAGTATTCTATTTTTCTTTTGCCCTATGGACAATGTGGAACATTTGCAGTGAAGATACCAGTATTGTGAATACATTGCAAATACATGTATTATAGTGTATTTTTATATATATCATTTATATACATATTATTTTACAGTTATATATAATGATATAACTGTATATATACAATTACATATATAATTGTATATATACAATTACATTGTGTATAATAATTTTTATATATGTTAAAATACTGTGTCTTTTTACACATTGTATATATATTTCATATGATATTGTATTGAATATCTATCTATATATTGTATTATTATACATATGGGTTATATCTGGCATCCCTTACCATGTGGAAGTTCCCGTTCCCACTGAAGTTGAATTCACATTGCATCATGTCAAAAAAGATGGGAATTGTTGCTTTCCTCAGCTCAGGCTCTGGGACCAGGGTCACCTCCAGGATTGGCCCCACCATTGCTGGGATGAATTTTATTTTGTGGGGACCTGGAAGAAATTTAAAGTCAAATACATCCAGTGGCAGGATTTGGATTTCCCGATGTTTAAGCACATTATTCACACAGCAAACACTCTGCTCAGAATGTGGATTTTATGTGGATGTTACTTAAGGAAGAATTAACAGGTTACAGCTCCAAAATTCAGGAATAGCCCAAGGAAATAATTGAGCTGAATTGTAAATCACAAAAAAGGCTCTCTGAAAAATCCCACTCATCCTTTACATGGCAGAACATCCTTTGGAGGGAATCTAAGAAATTATCTCAGCAGCTGGTATGAGGAGAAAATCAGCTTTTCCAAGTTATTCACAGAAAAAAGAGGTTTTTGTGTGCTGAAACAGCTGAACTATAAGTGCATTTCTCCACATTAAACATGTGCAGCTTTTATAAAGAAATAAGGATTTGAAAGCCAGCTTGAGAGCTGGAATAAAGAGAATTCTTTAGCTGGAACTCACCCAGGTTATACCACATATCCCTGATTTTGAAGCCAATTTCTTTCCTCATGTCCCCATACCTAGAGAAAGTATTAAAAGGAAGAGATGAAAAGGCCCAAGCACTGAAATGATCCTGGGACTGCTGCTGAAGGAGTGAATGGCAAAGCCACAAATGACCACAGCTCACTCTGACAGGGCACTGCAGACTGCTGAGAGCAGAATTTCCTGGGAATTCAGATTTCCTGGAAGCTGCAGCCCTTCTACTTCCTGCAATTCCACCCCACTTTGCTTGGGTTTGGGTGTTTTTTCCTAAAATTTTAACCTCTGACATCAAGGCAATGCAAAAAGATTTCATTAGCAGGCTTCTTCAAGCCACTTCTGCAGAAAAAAGGAACAAATTGTAACAGAAGTCTGTGTCAAGATGCTCAGAGATATCCAGGCACACAATTCAAGGGAATGAAGAGGTAAAAGCTGCTCAGTGACTAAAAATTGCTCGTTTGGGGCTATGAATGACTCTGAAAAGAAGAAAAGTAAAAGGTGGGGGACTAAAAAGCTGGAGGGCTTTAAGGATTCCTCTGACCTACCTTCCATAAAGGCTGAGGAATTGCCTAAGGGAATTTTGGGAATCATGACAACCTTCCCATTCCAGACCTTCCAGTGGAGAGACTTCTGGCAAGGTGCTGCAACAGCTCAAGATCTGCCTGACCAAACTTCAAACAGCCCTGATTTACAGCCCTGATCTTGTCCTGGTCACCCCTTTAGCACAGAACCTCCTCCCAGCCTGGGGGTGTCTGGAACAGCCCAAAAGGAGCCTCCTGACAGCAAAAAGGGCCTGAGATGGGAACTCACTTCTTGATGATTTTGTTGCGCTTGGCCTGGGAGAAGGTCTCCAGCTGGAGGGACTCGTGAGTGAGGAAGGCCACTGCCAAGTGGAAATAGTTATTCCAGAGCTGGGGGAGAGAAAGGAGATTAAAATGGGAGGATACAAAGGAAAAGCAACAGCAGGCACAAAAAATGCTGCCCCGCCCCAAATGCAGAGCTCCCTCCACGAGGAGGGGAACCTCAGTGAGCCACAGCCTGCTAACAGTGGGATTCAGCTACAAGGAAACCCAAAAAAACAGGACAATCACCTGGAGCTCAAAATGAGTTTGATCCAGGAAGAAGCGGTTGAGGACGGAGGTGAATTGGTTCACTGCCCGGAGGAAAACCCTGAAGAGATAAAAACATCAAATAAAGGTGATTCTGTACACAAAATCAATGACATTGCAGCTCTGGGTTTACAGCCCCTACGTGTAAGCTCAGGAGACAGCAATAGATGCTCCCAAAAAAGGCAGGAATTCCTCTAAATCAGGGAATATTCAGGCAAAGTTAACCCTTGGTTTAACAGCCTCAAGTTGCACCGGGGAGGCTCAGGTTGGAAACCAGGGAAAATTTCCTCTCTGGAAGAGTGGCTAAGCATTGGCCAGTCCTGGCTTTAGGTTTCCCATGTGATTCCCCCAGAACTGAGGCCAAAAAGGCTTCTCTGGATTAAGCTGTAACAGAGACCCCAGGGTTTGATTACATTCTTCTGGGCAGGACAGAGGTTTCCAGTTCCACCAGTGGAAAAGCACAGAAACTAAAACTGGCTGGAATCTGATTTAAACCAACATGAAGTGGCTGAAGAAAATAAACTGCCTTCTGGGAGTCGCCTCCTACCAGGTCCAGGGAGGCTCCAAAGCCAGACTTAACCCTGTACCTGCTCTGCATCATGTTCATGACCATCCAGTCAGCTGCATACACGTTCTTCCCAATCAGATCCTTGAACATAATGAATGTTTCCATCAGGAAGTCCTGTTGGAAAAATAAAACCCATCAGGCTGCACGTGGTGGGTTTGCGTCCATGGAATTACAGGGAGATGATGCTGTGACCTCATGAAATGCAGATGTTTGGGATTGCACTGATTAATGATCATGCTGATTGGCAATCAGTGCCCTGCCCCCTGCCTAAGGGGGGGCCTCTCATTCTGTGGGCACGGCCCAATAATGAAATTATTCCTGACATCTCATCCATCCAGTGGCACAAGGAGAAATAATTGCACAGAATGTTGGTCTGTTTAATGCTATCTGCCTTTGCTGTTTTGCATTAAGCTGTGCTGGAGGGAGTTCTGTGCATGAGCTGGATTAGAGAGCAAAACCAATAGTGCAGGGCTCTTTCCCAAATCTCTGAGTGGTGATAATGCAACAGAATGATCTAGAAAGCCTGAAATTACAATGTATTTTCACTCACTAATTAGTTAAATCTTTCCTGGTCCTGTTTAAGAACAGTTAAGGAGAGGCAGTGAATATAATATCAGAGATGTGATTTAGAATTATTTTACATTATTGTAGAAAAGACACTTTTTGCACAAACACCCTCCAAACATGACTTCAAACTTGGAAGAAACAAGGCTGAAGTTCAGAATGAGAGAGGAAAAAAAAGGGAAAATGAACACAGATGAGCAAAAAAAGGAAATATCAGGAATATTGATCTCCTCCTTGTGGTCTCTGCAGGTACAAAAGCCACTTTGAGCTCTTAAATCAATTCTATTCTCTGCAGCAGCACATTAATATTCAAATATGAAAGGGACACAAAGAAGGTCACAGGAGGAGCCATCCCCTTGAAATGATCCCCAGCAAAAATCTGTTGAGCTGAACAGTTTGGGCTTAAGAATTGGCAAGATATTGATGGAGAAATGGAGCACTTAGTGCTGCCCCAGTAAAAACCCTTTTGGCATTATTAAATCAGAGCCTGATGAGAGGGTTGGGCTTGACACGGGCACCTTGAATATATGAATTAACTCCTGAAAGTGCCAAACTAACCAGGGAATGATGCCAAGGCAGGGCTGGAAACATCAGCACAAACAAACCCAATAATGAACAACAAAAATAAAAGCAGTTATTGCAGTAAGACAAAAATTTCTGTTTGTATTAACAACTCCCACACCGCTACAAAGGCAGGTTTGCTCCTGTAGATTTAAAGGTGTATAAAAATCAGATTAGAAATTACTATTTTCCATATTCACCCTGAAAATCTTCTCACTGGATGAACACTTCCAGAATTCCTGAATCTGCCTGATTTTGGCGGTTTTTTCCTTCTTTCCTTCCTTCCTTCCCAACAAATCACTTGGGAAAGATAAAATCAGTCCTAAACCCACACGAAGCCTGAGTGACCTGTAGATGGCTGTGTTGCTCCACGCTGGCTCAAGAGCTGATTTTGCAAGTGATTTTCTGTGGAATTCTGTAATTCCAACTGCACAGGGACAAAAGGGATCACCTTGGCTCCCCAAACTGAGTTCCAAACCTTCTGGTGGCTTTTGGTACAGGAAGAACACAACTCCAGGCCCTTCCCCAGCTGGCATTTCAATAAACAGCCACTTCCCAATTGCAAAATAAGGAATAAAGGGACAAACCAGCTCCAACCATTCTCGTGTTGTGCACCAGTCCTGCTAAAACACTAGTTTGGGGCATTTTGGGGAGTTTGGGGGAAAATCTGCTGATTTTAAGCAGAAAAACCCCTCAGGAATGTAATATTTTACCTTGTTTCACACCCAAAATTTCTGGGGACATGAATTTTTAACATTCTGAGAACTTTCTGCATTGCTGCCACTAAAGCAAGATTCAAGCATTTAATTAAACTTCAGAGGAGGGGAAAGAATTAGATAAAGAGAACAGGGACACAAAGTGAGAGCCAGACAAGGAGAAATGTTTTTCCTTTCCATCTTCATTCCCTCTTCTGGTTCCTGACTCAAATCAAACATTTTTTACCCATTAAAGATGTTTTTCCTCAATGCCACAAATGCTGCTCTTGGGCTCTGCTGAGTCAGCAACTCCCCCAAAGCCCAGCAAGGGTGACAGGAATAAATTCCCAGCAACTGTGGCACCAGGAGCCACTGCTGAGGGTTTGATCTCCCAAACTCAGCAGAGCAATGACCCTGCAGAGCAGAGTGGTGATGCTGGGTGGGCTGAGGTCATTCCCCAGCCAGGCTGACTTACAATGATGTCCTGCCTGGTTTTGAAAGTGTTGATGTAATGGCTGTAATGGAAATCATCCATCTGCCTCAGGATGGCTGTCATGCAGGCCACGAAAATACCCTGGAATGGAAAAACCACAAAATACTGGGTTATTCTCCTGGGTTAAGCACTGTAATTCCAAGTGTGGCATGTCAGTGTCAAGTATCACTGATCAGAATCCTCCTTATCTGTGTCCTGACATCAACCTGAGACTGTTTGGTCCTCTAAACCAGCCAAGAATTCCTAAAATTCAAGCTTGAAATCTGGGTATTGCCTTCTTTCTCCCTTACAAGAGAAACACATCCTCCAAACACAGACTTGTATTTTATATATATATTGATCCACTCCATCAGATATTAAAGGTCCTTTCCAAGCTGACTCTGATTTTCAAATTTAGCAGGGCCAGCTGCAATTCTCATGGGTGGCACACTAAAGTGACCCCAGAGTTACCAAAACTCAGGTAAATCCCCAGCTCCTGGCTCTCCCATCCTTCTGTACACGAACTGCAGGGTGAATTAAAACACCCCAGAGCTGCCTGCACCCCCTCAGCTGCCACACAGGGCTCAGAAATGCCCCTGAAGGGCCTCATCCCCCAGCAGTTCACCCTTTGAGCCCAGGTGACAAAATGCAGCAAAGATCCAGTGTCAGGCACTACTCTGACACAAAATTCTGTGCACAGGGGCCAAAAGGAAATGAAATCACCCCCAGTGACTCAGCTCAAACTGGAGTGGGATAACCTGAATCCTAATCCTCAGAAAAACACCAGCAGTCACAGCTGGGTGGCACAAAGGCCCTGCAGGGCAGGGAGAGATGAGTTCATCAGGCACTGCTGCCCTCTGAGAGCTCCCAGGGGAACGAACCAATGTCAGGGAGTGCTGGGGAAGGAGGGGAGGGCTCCCAGGGAATGAACTCCTCTGTTAGAGCTGCTGGGGAGGCGGGGGGGGGAAGGGCTCCCAGGGAATGAACTCCTCTGTTAGAGCTGCTGGGGAGGCGGGGGGGGGAAGGGCTCCCAGGGAATGAACTCCTCTGTTAGAGCTGCTGGGGAGGCGGGGGGGGGAAGGGCTCCCAGGGAATGAACTCCTCTGTTAGAGCTGCTGGGGAGGCGGGGGGGGGAAGGGCTCCCAGGGAATGAACTCCTCTGTTAGAGCTGCTGGGGAGGCGGGGGGGGGAAGGGCTCCCAGGGAATGAACTCCTCTGTTAGAGCTGCTGGGGAGGCGGGGGGGGGAAGGGCTCCCAGGGAATGAACTCCTCTGTTAGAGCTGCTGGGGAGGCGGGGGGGGGAAGGGCTCCCAGGGAATGAACTCCTCTGTTAGAGCTGCTGGGGAGGCGGGGGGGGGAAGGGCTCCCAGGGAATGAACTCCTCTGTTAGAGCTGCTGGGGAGGCGGGGGGGGGAAGGGCTCCCAGGGAATGAACTCCTCTGTTAGAGCTGCTGGGGAGGCGGGGGGGGGAAGGGCTCCCAGGGAATGAACTCCTCTGTTAGAGCTGCTGGGGAGGCGGGGGGGGGAAGGGCTCCCAGGGAATGAACTCCTCTGTTAGAGCTGCTGGGGAGGCGGGGGGGGGAAGGGCTCCCAGGGAATGAACTCCTCTGTTAGAGCTGCTGGGGAGGCGGGGGGGGGAAGGGCTCCCAGGGAATGAACTCCTCTGTTAGAGCTGCTGGGGAGGCGGGGGGGGGAAGGGCTCCCAGGGAATGAACTCCTCTGTTAGAGCTGCTGGGGAGGCGGGGGGGGGAAGGGCTCCCAGGGAATGAACTCCTCTGTTAGAGCTGCTGGGGAGGCGGGGGGGGGAAGGGCTCCCAGGGAATGAACTCCTCTGTTAGAGCTGCTGGGGAGGCGGGGGGGGGAAGGGCTCCCAGGGAATGAACTCCTCTGTTAGAGCTGCTGGGGAGGCGGGGGGGGGAAGGGCTCCCAGGGAATGAACTCCTCTGTTAGAGCTGCTGGGGAGGCGGGGGGGGGAAGGGCTCCCAGGGAATGAACTCCTCTGTTAGAGCTGCTGGGGAGGCGGGGGGGGGAAGGGCTCCCAGGGAATGAACTCCTCTGTTAGAGCTGCTGGGGAGGCGGGGGGGGGAAGGGCTCCCAGGGAATGAACTCCTCTGTTAGAGCTGCTGGGGAGGCGGGGGGGGGAAGGGCTCCCAGGGAATGAACTCCTCTGTTAGAGCTGCTGGGGAGGCGGGGGGGGGAAGGGCTCCCAGGGAATGAACTCCTCTGTTAGAGCTGCTGGGGAGGCGGGGGGGGGAAGGGCTCCCAGGGAATGAACTCCTCTGTTAGAGCTGCTGGGGAGGCGGGGGGGGGAAGGGCTCCCAGGGAATGAACTCCTCTGTTAGAGCTGCTGGGGAGGCGGGGGGGGGAAGGGCTCCCAGGGAATGAACTCCTCTGTTAGAGCTGCTGGGGAGGCGGGGGGGGGAAGGGCTCCCAGGGAATGAACTCCTCTGTTAGAGCTGCTGGGGAGGCGGGGGGGGGAAGGGCTCCCAGGGAATGAACTCCTCTGTTAGAGCTGCTGGGGAGGCGGGGGGGGGAAGGGCTCCCAGGGAATGAACTCCTCTGTTAGAGCTGCTGGGGAGGCGGGGGGGGGAAGGGCTCCCAGGGAATGAACTCCTCTGTTAGAGCTGCTGGGGAGGCGGGGGGGGGAAGGGCTCCCAGGGAATGAACTCCTCTGTTAGAGCTGCTGGGGAGGCGGGGGGGGGAAGGGCTCCCAGGGAATGAACTCCTCTGTTAGAGCTGCTGGGGAGGCGGGGGGGGGAAGGGCTCCCAGGGAATGAACTCCTCTGTTAGAGCTGCTGGGGAGGCGGGGGGGGGAAGGGCTCCCAGGGAATGAACTCCTCTGTTAGAGCTGCTGGGGAGGCGGGGGGGGGAAGGGCTCCCAGGGAATGAACTCCTCTGTTAGAGCTGCTGGGGAGGCGGGGGGGGGAAGGGCTCCCAGGGAATGAACTCCTCTGTTAGAGCTGCTGGGGAGGCGGGGGGGGGAAGGGCTCCCAGGGAATGAACTCCTCTGTTAGAGCTGCTGGGGAGGCGGGGGGGGGAAGGGCTCCCAGGGAATGAACTCCTCTGTTAGAGCTGCTGGGGAGGCGGGGGGGGGAAGGGCTCCCAGGGAATGAACTCCTCTGTTAGAGCTGCTGGGGAGGCGGGGGGGGGAAGGGCTCCCAGGGAATGAACTCCTCTGTTAGAGCTGCTGGGGAGGCGGGGGGGGGAAGGGCTCCCAGGGAATGAACTCCTCTGTTAGAGCTGCTGGGGAGGCGGGGGGGGGAAGGGCTCCCAGGGAATGAACTCCTCTGTTAGAGCTGCTGGGGAGGCGGGGGGGGGAAGGGCTCCCAGGGAATGAACTCCTCTGTTAGAGCTGCTGGGGAGGCGGGGGGGGGAAGGGCTCCCAGGGAATGAACTCCTCTGTTAGAGCTGCTGGGGAGGCGGGGGGGGGAAGGGCTCCCAGGGAATGAACTCCTCTGTTAGAGCTGCTGGGGAGGCGGGGGGGGGAAGGGCTCCCAGGGAATGAACTCCTCTGTTAGAGCTGCTGGGGAGGCGGGGGGGGGAAGGGCTCCCAGGGAATGAACTCCTCTGTTAGAGCTGCTGGGGAGGCGGGGGGGGGAAGGGCTCCCAGGGAATGAACTCCTCTGTTAGAGCTGCTGGGGAGGCGGGGGGGGGAAGGGCTCCCAGGGAATGAACTCCTCTGTTAGAGCTGCTGGGGAGGCGGGGGGGGGAAGGGCTCCCAGGGAATGAACTCCTCTGTTAGAGCTGCTGGGGAGGCGGGGGGGGGAAGGGCTCCCAGGGAATGAACTCCTCTGTTAGAGCTGCTGGGGAGGCGGGGGGGGGAAGGGCTCCCAGGGAATGAACTCCTCTGTTAGAGCTGCTGGGGAGGCGGGGGGGGGAAGGGCTCCCAGGGAATGAACTCCTCTGTTAGAGCTGCTGGGGAGGCGGGGGGGGGAAGGGCTCCCAGGGAATGAACTCCTCTGTTAGAGCTGCTGGGGAGGCGGGGGGGGGAAGGGCTCCCAGGGAATGAACTCCTCTGTTAGAGCTGCTGGGGAGGCGGGGGGGGGAAGGGCTCCCAGGGAATGAACTCCTCTGTTAGAGCTGCTGGGGAGGCGGGGGGGGGAAGGGCTCCCAGGGAATGAACTCCTCTGTTAGAGCTGCTGGGGAGGCGGGGGGGGGAAGGGCTCCCAGGGAATGAACTCCTCTGTTAGAGCTGCTGGGGAGGCGGGGGGGGGAAGGGCTCCCAGGGAATGAACTCCTCTGTTAGAGCTGCTGGGGAGGCGGGGGGGGGAAGGGCTCCCAGGGAATGAACTCCTCTGTTAGAGCTGCTGGGGAGGCGGGGGGGGGAAGGGCTCCCAGGGAATGAACTCCTCTGTTAGAGCTGCTGGGGAGGCGGGGGGGGGAAGGGCTCCCAGGGAATGAACTCCTCTGTTAGAGCTGCTGGGGAGGCGGGGGGGGGAAGGGCTCCCAGGGAATGAACTCCTCTGTTAGAGCTGCTGGGGAGGCGGGGGGGGGAAGGGCTCCCAGGGAATGAACTCCTCTGTTAGAGCTGCTGGGGAGGCGGGGGGGGGAAGGGCTCCCAGGGAATGAACTCCTCTGTTAGAGCTGCTGGGGAGGCGGGGGGGGGAAGGGCTCCCAGGGAATGAACTCCTCTGTTAGAGCTGCTGGGGAGGCGGGGGGGGGAAGGGCTCCCAGGGAATGAACTCCTCTGTTAGAGCTGCTGGGGAGGCGGGGGGGGGAAGGGCTCCCAGGGAATGAACTCCTCTGTTAGAGCTGCTGGGGAGGCGGGGGGGGGAAGGGCTCCCAGGGAATGAACTCCTCTGTTAGAGCTGCTGGGGAGGCGGGGGGGGGAAGGGCTCCCAGGGAATGAACTCCTCTGTTAGAGCTGCTGGGGAGGCGGGGGGGGGAAGGGCTCCCAGGGAATGAACTCCTCTGTTAGAGCTGCTGGGGAGGCGGGGGGGGGAAGGGCTCCCAGGGAATGAACTCCTCTGTTAGAGCTGCTGGGGAGGCGGGGGGGGGAAGGGCTCCCAGGGAATGAACTCCTCTGTTAGAGCTGCTGGGGAGGCGGGGGGGGGAAGGGCTCCCAGGGAATGAACTCCTCTGTTAGAGCTGCTGGGGAGGCGGGGGGGGGAAGGGCTCCCAGGGAATGAACTCCTCTGTTAGAGCTGCTGGGGAGGCGGGGGGGGGAAGGGCTCCCAGGGAATGAACTCCTCTGTTAGAGCTGCTGGGGAGGCGGGGGGGGGAAGGGCTCCCAGGGAATGAACTCCTCTGTTAGAGCTGCTGGGGAGGCGGGGGGGGGAAGGGCTCCCAGGGAATGAACTCCTCTGTTAGAGCTGCTGGGGAGGCGGGGGGGGGAAGGGCTCCCAGGGAATGAACTCCTCTGTTAGAGCTGCTGGGGAGGCGGGGGGGGGAAGGGCTCCCAGGGAATGAACTCCTCTGTTAGAGCTGCTGGGGAGGCGGGGGGGGGAAGGGCTCCCAGGGAATGAACCCACTGTCAGGGAGTGCTGAGAAAGGAGGGAAGGGATCCCAGGGAATGAACTCCTCTGTTAGAGCTGCTGGGGAGGCAGGGAGGGGCTCCCAGGGAATGAACCCACTGTCAGGGAGTGCTGGGGAAGCAGGGGAGGGCTCCCAGGGAATGAACTCCTCTGTCAGAGCTGCTGGGGAGGCGGGGTGGGGAAGGGCTCCCAGGGAATGAACCCCTCTGTCAGAGCAGCTGGGGAGGCAGGGGGGAAGGCTCTCACGATGTGTGGGGACTGGCGGCTCATCCCGATCACCGTGCGGTTGATCCGGCGCAGCAGCCGCTCCATCATCTGCTGGATGTGCAGAGCAGTGGCACCCTGGGGACAGCCAGCAAGGGACACTGGAGACCATTCCTCAGGCACAGCCTTCCAGGGGCAGCTCCCTGGGTGGGAGGACTGCCCTGGCAGTGCTTCATTTCATTAGGGGAAGCAGAAAAAGGAGATTTAAGCACACGAACAAACAATTCAGAATCTCTGGGATTCACCTGGGGGAGAATTCCCTTAATGGATCTGTCCCAGCTTCATCAGCTCATCCTGGGGCTTTGACATCTTTTCTCTGAACAGCTCAAACCACTCAGAACAATTCCCATGGCCAGAGTGGGAAGTGCATTTTTCTGGCTGAACAGTGGTTGCTGTCCTTACTCCATTAACAGAGAGAACGAGCAACCTCCTCATTTTTATACCATGTAATACTTTGACTTGCTCCAAATTACTGAGCAAGCCACCCAAGCAGCTGAGATGACATTTTGGTCCCTAGAAAGGGAAGTAAATGCTTCTAGTAGTGATAACAACTAATTCAACCTTTCCTGGCTCCTTTTCAGACAGAGCCCCTACAAAGAACTGCACAGCAAGGCATCACAATTTGTATAAATATCACAATTCTGACTCATTAAAGCACAATAGAGGACGTTTCTTTACTGTGACTTCTCAAAGGAAGAACTGAGCTGAACTGGCAGCCCTGAGAGCTCGTGCTCACCACATCTTTGCGGTCCAGGACCTCCAGGACACTGCTCAGGAGCTGGGAGCTGGCCTCGTGGTCAGGCTTGCTGGAGTTGTCATCCAGCTGCCCACTCAGCTGATCGATGAGCAGGGGCAGGAGGGCATCTCTGCACTCTGCAAAGTGACACAGGGACAGAGCAGAGCCTCAGCACGCGCTGGGTACGGGCACCTCACAGGAGTGCCCTGCTCCTGATTCCATCTGGGACACCAGAACTTGCTTAAAGCCACTGGAGTTACAACAAACAGACTGGAGAGAGTCATAAATGATCTGTAATTTGAATAATGGAATCCCAGAATGGGTTGGGCTGAAGGGACCAAAAGGATAATCTCATCCCCCCCCTGCCATGGGAAGGACACCTCCCACTGGCCCAGGGTGCTTGGACACTTCCAGGGATCCAGGGGCAGCTGCTCTGGGAATTCCATCCCAGGCCCTGTCCACTCCCACAGGGAGGAATTCCTTCCCAATATCCCATCTAACCCATCCATTCATTTATAAATTCTGTATATTCCATCAAACAGCACACTCAGCTTCTCCCTCCTGAATCACCACCCTGGGTCAGGATCCCACATACTGGGCATTGTATAAAGACTGGACAGCAAAAAAACCTCAGTTCTTCCATGGCAAGGAATGTTTCTAGAGTTGCATTTAATGGTGGAGTGCCCCTGATGACTGACAGAGGAACTCGTTTTGAAGGCTGTGCGGCCCCTGGCAGAACCCAGAGCCCTCCAAGCCACTCACCAGCCTGCTTGAACAGGTCACTCTCCACGATCTTGGTCAGGCAGTTCAGCTTCTGCCGGACCAGCTGGTTGTCAGGGATGCTCTGGATGAACTTGCTGAAGAGGACACTGTGTGCAGCCCAGAGGGAGCAGAGGGTCAGCACTGCCAGCCAGCATCAGCCCATCCATCCCACACAGACACTGCCCCGCAGCTGGGCCAGACATGGAGTCACAGCATCCCAGAATAGGATTGGGTTGGGCTGGAAGTGGCTTAAAGCTCACCAACTGCAGCCCCTGCCATGGCAGAGACACCTCCCCTGCCCCAGGATGCTCCAGCGTGGGAGGGATGGGACAGCCACAGTTCCTCTGGGAATTCCACCCAACAGGCACATTACTACAGAGCCCTGGCTGATTTTCAAGGAATTTAGCACAGGACTTGAAGTCCTGTTGAGGTGTTAGGGCATGGGTTGGACTCTATGATCTTTCAGGTCTCTTCCAACCTAGCCACAGAATTCTGTGAATCCTGTGAAAGTAAAACTGAGCAGTGTTCAGGAACTGCAGGCTCAAACCTCTTTAAATGGCACTTTTATTCCAGCACACACCAGGCACATCCCACACCTATGAACAGGCAGTGCTCTGTGCCCTCCCAGGTTAATCACAGTGGCTGCCACACCCAGGGAAAGTAAGAGTTTGGAAAGTCTCATTTGAATCGACTCAGCAGCCCTGGTGAAAGCTGGAACATCCCCAGCTCAAAGGCACAGCCTCATTCCACACGCCCCTTGCACCAGGAGTGGTGACTCACTCCAGCCCGAGATTCCCTTTAATTAAATCCCATGGACATTTGCTGCCTGTCTGCTGCTTCCCAGCAAATCACTTGTGTCAGGACAGGGAACAGGGCTGGGCAGCTCTGGGCAGAGCTCTGAGCACCACAACCAGGAATCCACGGGGCTGAGAATTCCCTGGATAAACACAACTTTTGGGTTCCCAGCCAAGGCTCAGCCTTTGCCACACTTCTCCGGAGCACTCACCAAGAACTGGTGGAAACTTGCATGAGATTTCAACACTTCACTGCCCTCAGATTTTGCTTTTCAGTAAAATCTCAAGGTGCCTATAAGGATCCCAGAATCCTGGAATGATTTGGGTAGTAAGGGACCCTAAAATCACCCAGCTCCATGGGCAGGGACACCTCCCACTATCCCAGGTTACTCCAAGGCCCATCCAGCCTGGGCCTGGACACTCCCAGAATGAAAAACTGGGATGCAGAGAATCCTCTGAACTCCACTGACTTCCCTTAAAGCCCTGCAAGCACCTCCTTGAGTCCATGCAAAGGATCTGCACCATCAGATCATAACCAGAGTGGCTGTTTTTAGCCAAATTTCCAAAATTCTTCCCACCAGATAAACTGGGTTTAGAGGACAAACAAACTTAATACAGTTACCTGAGCTCAACGGGGTCAAATACCAGTTTGACATCATTTATGATGCTTGGCAAATACTTTAAAGCTGCTCCCTGAAAGAAGAAAGAAACCAAGGACATGAAATGCACGTGGGAAATCCAGGTTTTGTCAAAAGCAAATGTGGGGACAACTGCAGAGAACTGGTTTCTAAATCAAATAAATCAAATTTATGCATCCAAAGAGCCTCCAGCCACCCCAGATCTGCAGTGCAGAGTGGGAAAGATGGAGGAGAAGGGGCTCATGGATAATTCTCTCATTCCTTTTTCTGGCCCAGCCCCTTCCCAACTGCACCAGTTGATCTAATTAAAGTTTTTTACTTTTCCCTGGAAATTACGCTCACCTTGATCTTGACAGCCTCCTCCAGGGGCCGGTCCATGAGGACATTGAAGGAGAGGAACAGCTGCCGAATTGCATCGTTGAATTCATTCCCATCCTCACTCTTCCCATAAACACTGCAAAGAACAGGGCCAGTTACACACAGAAATCCAGCAGCTGAAACAGGATTTCATCCTGTGCAACAACATCTTAATGCCATCACCTTCCACAAAGACGTGGGGGTAAAAATGGAATTGGAGATTTTGCAGTCATTTCCTGCTGGAAACGACTGCAAAAGGGGAAAACCTCCACTTTTTAGGCTGCCACTGCAGCAAATTCTGCTCGGGTTCCAAGTACTAAACAAGAAAAAAAATCCAGAATAGACATGAATAAAGGGTTTCAAACCCTCACTGTCAATCTCTGGAAAGATGTTTTTGAAGCTGCAATTAAACCACTTTGATCACCAAATGACTGAAGTATCTGTGTATTGGTTTCTTAAAAGTTTCTGAAAATGAGGAGGAAATTCCATGTTTTACTATATTAAAATAAATACTGGGTTCCTTTTCAGCTCTACCATGGGCTGCTTATTGCATGTTAGGGGGGACTAAAAGGTTTTTTTTCCTTCTAATCTGGTATTTTAATTTTTGCTCAACTTATTTGTTCCAGACACAGACAAAGGGCTGAAAGATCCTCTGAATCAGTCAGTGATAGAGGATTTGGTGAAGAATATCTGCTGCAGTGATATTTACTGGAAGGAACTCCAGCGGGTTTCCCAGAGGAGGCCCAGGGAGGGAAGGGCTGGACCCACCTCAGGTACAGCACCCGCGACTGCACGATGAATCTGAACAGGTATTTCAGGGCTTTCAGGGCTGCAAAGAGCAGCTCTGTCTTGCTGGAGTCCTCAGCATTCCCCACGTAGCAGTTCAGGACTTTGGTGAGTTTCCTTTGGAAATAAAACAAAAAGGGGAACCAATACAGGCACGGCTCAGTTCCTGCGCAGGTTCAGCTTCCTCAGCCCAGAGAGGAACTGCAGGCACAGGAACACCACAGGGCTCCTCCTCACAGCCCATTTCCTTCTCAAATCTTGGGCTCTAAAGTCTACAGATTCCATCCTCTTGCTCTGCTTTTCCTCTACCCTAGAAGGAGCTGTCCGGGAAGATGCAAACCCCGTTCCCAGGGGAAGGGACTGAGGTTTTCTCCCTGTGTGAGAACTCCCACGTGTGCAGCAGGAGGAGAAAAGGAAATCACGTGGAAGCAGTGACTGTCTGGCAGGGCAGGGAAGGAGGCATTCCAGGAGAAGGGGACTTCAAATTGTGTTTATTTTTAGGGTGACAGCCAGTTCATGCGGATCAGTAAAGATTAAGAGGAGATTTTTAGAGAGGAAAAGCAGTTTGGTTTCTGGTTTTGCCCTCCCTACTGGCCTCAGTTTGAACTTTTCACTCCTGTTACCACAAGGGTGATGACCTTTGGCTGAGGGGTGCTTTATTAAGGGGCTGGAAAGCCAAGATCCGTGATAGAAGTGCCTTTTCTGTCTGTTTTGACAGAAAAAAACCTCACAACAGAATTTTTTAGAGGGCAAAAAGAGCAGTAAGAAGGATTCTTTCTCTCCTGAATGCAGAGAAGGGATGGAACTCTGCTCTCTGCTGCCTTTATCCCATTAACACCATCAAAAATGACCTAATCAAATACATCACCAAGAGCTGATCTCATCCCCAAAGCCCTCAGTGACACTGCTGGGTGACACCCGAGGTTGGGACCAATACTCACACATAGGCCAGGGTTGCACTGAAGTGTTTGTAAATGTAAGTCTCAAGCACAGCGTTGAAATGCTGGAACTTGATGTCTCCAATCAAAGAAATAATAAATACCTGCCAAAAATCCAGAAGGAAACAGATGCACAGAGCTGCACACTAACTCCAATAGAACAGTCTCTAATTTATTTTGCTGGGTTGTAATTTTTGTTTTATCAACAGCACTAATGCCACAGACTGTGTTATTCATGTTATAACTGTGTGTGTGCAATTTATTTTTCTTCTTACTGTGGCTACTAAAAACCTGATGTGCATTTCAGTCCTAGCTCCTGAAAAAGCTTTAAGAAGTGTTTAAATATCATTTATTTCTAGAGCAAAATACCAATTGCTCATTGGAATCACCAGGAACAGACTGGAAATGTGGCTGAAAACTCTGCAGCCATAGAAGATTCACTCACCAGGGCATCAAACACCAGGAAATCATAGGTTTCATTTTCTGACATTTCCATCATGATGTTGAAAAGTGCATCGAGGGTGTCTGGCAAAAACTAGAGGGGAAAAGGAACAGTAAAAGGGTGGGGAAAGGCAACTGCTTCTGGCATCCTGCACAGGAGCATGAGCTGGATCATTCTTCCCCTTCCAGCCTGGCTGAACTGTAAAACCTGTCCATGAGAAAACATCTCAAAAGGGATCCACCCCTGTGCCCATGAGAAAACCTTTCAAAAAGAGATCCCAGCCCTGTGTTTATGAGAAAACATCTCAAAAAGAGATCCCAGCCCTGTGTTTATGAGAAAACATCTCAGAAAGAGATCCCAACCCTGTGCCCATGAGAAAACATCTCAAAAGGGATCCCAAGCCTGTGTTCATCAGAAAACATCTCAAAAGGGATCCCAAGCCTGTGTTCATGCATGTGATTGTCATGATCATGTCTATAGTAAGGAAGATCTTTCTTCTCAGCTCTAAAAGGCCCCACTTTGCAGCTCTATTGCCTTTTCATCCCACAGGATGAAAATCCTGAGCTCTCCAAAGCAGCCCGGCCCTGTCCCAAGGCAGGACACTGCACTCAGCCTGTCTGCAGTGACATAGTGACACATTAACTTCATGTTCAGCTGCTCCATAAAACCATCACCCTGCAAAATCCCAGCACATTCACTCTTGGGACCTCTCTCTGCAGACAAGACTCTTCCTCTCAAATCCTTCAGCAGACCATTTTCTGCGGAATTCCCCCATTTCAGGTCCACTCCCTGCAGTATTCTATGAGATCTCTGGGCTGTCTCTGCTCCCAGATTCACAGCAAGCCCCTCCTCATTCACAAAGGAGTTGAAAATGAAAAGTTAGGCTTTGGATGTATATCTTATTTCCTAAAGATAAAGGGGAAAATAAAGTCACCGCCCTCTCCCTGATCCCTGTAATATTCAACTTCTGTAATTCTGGTGAATTCCACTAATGAGAGGTGGAGCACAGGTTCCCAGAGAAGCTGTGGCTACCCCATCCCTGGTGTCCAAGTGTCCAAGGCCAGGCTGGAGCAAGCTGGGACTGTGGAAAGTGTGGCAGGGGGTGGAAAAATCTGATTTTAAGGTCTCTTCCAAGCCAAACCATCCCATGATTTGATGATTCTCCCATTCCTCAGCACTCAGACCTGCCCTCCCAGCTACTCAGACACCTTCTGGGTCCAACACCAGGCTGACACATGAGAGTGTGTGCACCAAGGAGGCTCACATCCCTGGGAATACCTTCACAATTTCTCCTCCTTCCACCTCCATGAGCTTCCTGAGGTTGTGGGCGATGTTGTGGGCGTTGGAGCGCCAGTTCAGCAAACCCAGCAGGTCAACTGCAAGGACACAAAGAGCAATCAGCAATTACAGCTGACTGAAGGGCTGCAGAGCAGTCCACAGCAAGGCTGGCTGCTATTTTTAGTCAGTGTACAAAGAACAGTCACCCTGAGGTACAGAATGTTACCTTGAGGTGCTTCTTTTGTCTTGGCAAAACAGCAAAGCTCTGCTATAAATGGAAACCTGGCTGCCATCTGATAACACATTTAGAGACCATTTTGCAGGTTTTTTATGGACTCAAGAGCAGGTATCTCAAGCCAGGAATTTTATTCAAGTGCACAACTCAGCGCAGGAGCCTTCCAGAGCTGTTGGAAGTCTCCCATCATTTACCAGCCCAGGCTGGACTCAGTCACATACTGCTCTTCATTTTGACCCCTTAATGCACATCACCATCCTGGAGAGCTCAGTCCTAACTGCTGCTCTCTTAACAGGCACAGGAAAGAAGGTAATTAACCTTAAATATTTCAAATTCTGATAAAACACAGATACTGTCACTGACAGATGACATTTCCACACGTGCCAACAAACTTGTTGGGTTGAACACTGGCAGTCTGGATTGAATATTTTTGTGAAAGGGTTTCTAGGGGTTGCACAAACATTCTGGGAGCTTGTTCTGGCAGCTTGATGAGACGGGGCTGCCACTGATCCATGAGCAGCAAAATGAGAGCTGAAGCTCTCCGGTTTTCATTTCACACACAAAAAGCTGCCTGAAGAAAATGCCCTCTGTATTTCTGAGCCCCAGCACAAGCCCTACCATTCTGGGTGAGTTTGGTGGAGCAGATGACAGTGGCAATCTGGAAGCTGTCCTTTGTGCTGTCCTTTGTGGGGGTGAAGTTGGCCAGAGGGTGCAGGTTTTTCCCTGAGGGAGCCTCCTTCTCCTCCATCTCTGTTTTAGTGCAAGGCAGAGTCAAATAACTCTTGGCATCTTCCATTTTCTTGTTGTCACCCTGTTGGTTGGACACAGCAGGGAGAAGGGTCATGTCCCACAGTGACAGCCAGAATGGGTTTGAAACACTTTCTCATCTCTGTCATTGTTTGAGTTCCTTATTTCAGGGATAAGTTGCCTATACTGCAAATGAGCTGAGCTATTTCCAAAGCCACAGAGTTTAGGAGGATTTCCCACCCAACACACACATTGTGTAGCTTTCTACTGCTTGGAAAATCAGCCAGGAGAGAGTTTTGATGAGTTAAACAAGAGACAAGGCTGGAAATGCCCAGGTTACCTTGTAAACAATCAAATTGTGTTTGCCATCCTGCAGCGTCGTTCCATCTGCATTCATCAGCTTCACAAAGCCCATGCCAAAAGCTCTCTCAGATCTATCCCTGGCTGCAAAACAGGAGAAATCTTCATTAGTAATTGCCTTATTGATGTCCACGCAATCCAGAATGCAGCCTTCTAACCTCATCAGCAGCTTTATTGAATAGGTAACTGCATCTACACAAACACATCCTCCTGGAGCATCTCCCACACACAATTTTAGTGGTTTTTGCTCTGATAGATAGACAAATTGATGGTTGGACTCCTTGATCTTAACAATGCAGTGATCCTCTGATACAGAATTCTATAGGTATTTTTGGTTGGGATTTTGGTTTGTGTGCTGTGGATATGGAAGCATGTCACTGCCTTCAGAACCAGGTGCCTTTGAGAGCCTTTCAATGGCTGACCCTCACTTATTGATCTCATTTCAGGGCTCTGAAGTGATTTGATGGAACTTCTGGCTCTAACTCTCTCATTAGCCTTTTATTAGCCTAATTAGAAATCCTCCTATAGGAAGATCATTAGAAGCCCACCAAGCCTTGCAGGCAATTTTGGGAAATCAATTAAAAGCAACACCCTACCCTGAGAAGCCAAAGCAGTAACAAACATTCATCATTGTCTTTTGAGGGGAGAAACTGTCGCTCCTTACCAAATTTCAGTTTCAGGACAAAACCAGCACCAAACTCTGGGTGCAAAAAATTTGAATGATTTTTGGTTTTTTGCTTGCCACAAAACTGGGAGTAAGTAAACTGAGCAAGAAGAAAATCCGTAACGCTGTGACTAAGCAGAAATGTGAGTTCTACACTCAGCGGGAATGCGAGGAGCACAGCAGTCCTGCAGGTGTCCCTTCCTGGCACTCACATTCCTGGGACGAGCGGTGACGGAACGTGAACCTCAGGTGGCAGCGACTGACTTCTTCTATGGCAATGGCCACCTGCATGGGAGAACAGGATGAAAACAGCATTTTCCCTCTGCCCAGACACTCTCCAGCACGTTCTGGTGCTGATGCAGCTGCTGTTTTACATCAGTCCTGGTTTGCACACAGAGGAAGAACGCAGTTGTTGACGTTTCTGGAAAAGGGCTGTTGACAAGTTAGGCTACCCAACCCTTGAGCAGACTAACAATGTGTGTTACTGTCTTAGAATTAGTAAGGGTTTTTTGTAAGAAGGAACAACAAGGCTTGATTGTAAAGAATTTGATGGTATATGCTGGAAATCTCTCTGAGCATTCTAAATCAGTCTCTGATTGAGGTTCTGATTAATAACTGGCAAATTGCTAAAGAGACCTCTTGAGCTGTGTTTGTTCTCCTTCCTGCAAGGGGCCCTGCAGGGGATTACAGACGCTGCCTCCTCCTTTAAACAAAAAGGGGGACCTGTGGATACGACAGTTTAGTCAGAGGGAGAGAAACAGCTCACTTTGCCAGGAATTGTTCTGGGGAGTTTTAATAAGGCTGAGAGAAAGAATTAAAACAATCTTGCAGCTGGTGCTTTGAACAGTTGTTTTCTCATTAGATGTTTGTCTTCTTAATTAGCCAATGGTGTGAGGGGTGTTGATGAAATGACCCATCAGGCCCACCTGTATCAGGAGGGTGTGTAAAAGAACGGGTTTCTAATAAACTGGGATTAGCCTTCTGAAGAGACCCAGAGCCTGTGTGTGCCTCACTCCTGGTCCTGCCCCAGTGGTGACATGCAGTGAATGACAGAGCCATACCTTGACAGTCTCGTACCAGCAGGGCTGCTTGACCTGGTAATAAACCACAGACTTGTACTCCGAGACTCCCTCGTAGCCAGCCCCGGGGTGGATGGCTTTCTTTGGACAAAACACAGGTAGGGGGAAAAAAGGTAAATACAGAGTGTTTTGGGTGGTAAATTTTCAAAGGGTGTCAGAGGCCGTCCTACCTCCTGCAGGTTTCCGTCCTCGTCGTGCACAGACATGGTGACCTCAACGTTCTTGGGGGTTTTCTTCTTGCCTTTGTCAAACTCCCCCTGGATCAGGGTGACGTAGATGTCATTCCGGACGTCACCTGAAATGCCCAGAGTTTAATGAGCTGGTTTCTCATTCCCAGTGTGACAGCTTGAAATTTAACACCCTTGGGTACCATGTTATCCTCATTTCCTCTTAGCCTTTAATTAACAACACCCACCATCACACCATTTTCATCTCTGTCTCAAATTACATGAGATCTTCTAAAACGAACCATTTTACTTTCTACAAACCTCTGTACCTATGTTTTGGTTGTTTTTTGTTGTTTTTTTTAAATTTAATGAGCTCTCTAGGGTTAAATCCACTTTGAATGGGTGGGTCAAAGCTATATGCAACAAAAATTCTTTTGACTAAAGAGACATTTGCTTCCGAAAGCTCCATAAACCATCATTTTGCCATAAGAAAGGAAACTCATGTTTTCAACTTCTTGTGACAAAAAATAAGAAAATAACCTGGAAATTTGAAGAAAAACATGAAGTTTTCAGATAAAATCATTTTTTTTTTTAAAGAAATCTTTTTGTGACAGAAATTCTAAAATTTCAGGTGGCTCTTTCACACCATGGAATGTAGAAGAACACGGGACCTACCAGGAAGGATGATCTCAGGGAAACCCATTTTTCGAGCCACTGCAGTGGATCTGTCTACAAGGTGGGAAAAATCCTTCTGAACCTGAGCCAGATCCCCAGGGAGCAGCTTCAGGGAGACCCAGAGACCTAAGAAAAGAGAGATGACACTTGTTTACTGAAAATAAAAAGATACAAACCCGTGAAATTTAAGCCTGTGCTTCCGAAAAAAATCTGTGTTTTCATGACAATTCCATGTCCCCATCTCCTTCTCTCTTGCCCAGTCCTCCCTGTCCCTGAATCTGAGTAAGATTTTTCTGGACAAGATTTGTCTGAAGCAAACCCCAAACTTTCAGAGATGAACTTTAAGTGTCTTTGAGCCAAGGAAGACCAGAAAAATCTGGAATAATGTGATTTAACCCCAAAGCCATTTGGGACATGCAGCCACGTCCACTTACAAATATTTCACACCCATAAAACACTTTTATTTTAAAGATGTTAAAAAATATTGACCGTAAAAGTGTGGAAACCCAGAGCACTGTGAATATTTCCCTGTCTGCTCTGGGGTGCCCTCACTCCCAGGGGAGCACTGACTTTGACCCTTGTTCGTGGAGAAAGTCTCCCAGACTTCAAGATAGACTGGAATCCAAAAAAGTGTGAAATAGATTATAGAGAGGGGTGTAGGTGTAGCACCTGGGTGAGAAATTTTGGGATTTGGTTTTGGGATTTTTAGTATGTTGTGGATGGACACAAGATGGAGGGCACAAGGTGCTGTTCTGGGTTTCTTCTTCATGCTTCTTCTTCCTTCTTCATCATGGGTTTGGGTGGCATTTTGTAATTGGGCAGAAAAGTCCTCATTGGGGCTCTTTGGGATCAGTTATTGGGTTAAAAGGGAAAATAATCTAGGTGTCCTTTCTTAATTGCATAGTTTAGTCTTAAAAGACCTTGTAACAAGAGATTGTTGGCCATTTTGTGCCTTCTAATGAAAAGCTGCCGAACTCATGCTTGTGAGATGGTTTTACTGATAAGAAATAATAAACTCCTGAGTCCAAACATGAACTAGAGTCTCAAAGGCCTTCAATCCAGACCCAGAGAAACAGATATAAAAGTATGACTAGCAAGCAAGCGAGGAGCTGGAGGAGCTGTTCTCATGCAAGTTTTGTCGGGTTTTATCTGGATTTCAGCTCCGTGTGTGACGGGGTGACAAAGGGACAAAGTGAGAACCATGGCAAAGACCACACCTTGGGCTCGGGGAAGGGATTAAATTCCACTAAGTCTTGATTCCTTGACTTTCACCATCCATTTTACTCCCTGGAACCTCCCCCAGCCCAGGTTTCCTCCAGGCTGCACCTTGGCCTTTGTGGTTGACCTCCTTGGCAGCGATGACTTTGTTGAAGACAGAGGTGAGGGGCTCGTTCTCGCCGATGACATGGGAGGTGATCAGGGGGGACATGATCAGCTGGCGCTGCCTGATGTAGGTTTCCATGGCAATCCTGGGCAGGAGGACCACAAAAACAGGATCAGGAATTGGGACAGACTGACACCAAGCACATACAAGGAGAGGGCTGACCAACAGCCAGCTGGTTTCCAAATAAATGTGGGGTTTTTTAAGAATTCCATGGGGATTTTCATTCCTTCACCTGCACAAAATCCATTTAAACCTTCACACTGGGATATGCATCACAGTCTATCCCTCAGGCTTAAGGTAAGTAACACTGACCTCAGGACTGAAGCCCTGACTTCAGGTTTGCCTCAGAGCTGTCCCTATGCAGATTAACTATTGGTAAACTAATATAAATTACTATAAATTAGTAACTGCTGCGAAAACACCTATGGGTTGAACCCATCCCTTGTCACAAACACGACTAGTGAGGTTTGGATCTCGACCCTGACTTCACTCCTGTACCCATACAACCAATAATGAGGGAGAAACGAGGTCTCCACAGGCTGCCCACCCTGGTGTCCAGCTGGGGGTCTGAACTCAGCCTTGTTGGAGCAGAAGAAAAATGGGAAACAACTCCAAACCAACAAAACAAAAAATAAATCAAACAAACAAGTTAAAAAAAAAAAAACCAAAAAACCCCAAACCAAACCAAACCAACAAACAAAAACCCAAAGCCAAACCAAAACAAAAACCCCTAAACAAATAAAAAATAACCAAACCCCAAAAAAAAAGAAAAAAAAAGAAAAGTAAAGTAGCAGACTAATGTTATTCTGCAAAGGGAAAGCCATCCTTCCAGGCCCTGAAAGGGCAGGGGACCAAACCCAAATCTCCCCTGAAAACACACTATAATAACAAATGGCTGCAGCCAATGCTTTGCTCTATTTAGGGCTGTAACAACAAGGCTAGGTCTACCCAAACAAGCTCCATTTTTGTTACTCTAATGTGCCAAAAAAAAGGAGCAATCAGGGTAGGCAGAACAAACACACAAGTCTAACTCTCAGTGCAGAAATGCAGAACTCATTGGGGCTGGAATTTCTTCCCCAGGAAGAGGGAGAAACCCCTTCCTTATGACTGACCCAGACCAGGAAACACGGGCAGCAAGTGGCACAGAGGGCCCCACACAGCAGGGACAAAAAACTGTGTTTGTGCTCAGTCTCTCTGAAAATCCTGCCTTTCAACCCCCCCAGAATTTTGTAAGTCACATCCCCCCAGCCCCACAACATTATTTTGCTCTGTTCTCCTCTTCCTCACCCCACAGGTACCCAGAAATTCCAGCTGCACTGCCGAAGTCCCCAGGCAATTAAATCTCCGACAGAGCCATGAAAACCAAGGGGAACAAAGGCTCCTGAGGGGTGACAGAAACCTCTCCCTGCAAAGAGCTGCCTGCTGCTATCAGCTGATCTATCTGCAGAGCCTCTGGGGCTCTGCCAGGCTCCCAGACTCATCTAGCCTTCCCCAGAGGAGGCCTGCTTTGCCCAGGGCTGGGGTGAGCTCTGGAGCCCAGTACTCACTGCTGGAAGGGGATAAAATGCTGCTTTTCCTCGTCGTCCACCTTCCCGTGGATGATGTCAGTGATGTCCATCACTGCAACGACAGCAGAGCGTCACTCAGAGCTGCCAAGAACCCAGAGAGAGCTTTGCCCTCTCAGAATGGAAACAACAAGGGGCTGTTTTGGGCCAGTGTCACTCAAAACAAGGGCTCTGAGCAACCTGGGATAGTGGAAGGAGTCCTGGCCATGGCAGGAGTGGAACTGGATGGGATTTAAGGTTATTTCCAACCCCCAAAAAAATCTGGGATTCTGTGACAGCAATGGAGGGCATCACTCTCATTTTAACTTTTTAAAAAGCACATTTACACTGATGTGAATGGCAGCCCATAGCTGACAGTGTGAATATATTGAACACATATATACATTCACACACAATATATTCAACGTTCAATATATATTCACACACATTCAGTGTGAATACACTGAATACACCCTGATAAAATACTCTTATAAAATACACCCTCTGAGAAAAATCAGGTGGGACTGGGGCATTTTAAGGCAAAGAAATTCCACCAATTAAAATGCTGCTTTTTTGGAAATTGATTTCCACCAAGGATTTCAAGAAGTCCCTTCACAAGAAATCCCAGGAATAAAATAAGAATTGTCAGTATGGTTCACCAAAGTCCCTTTAAAACCTCCAGCTTTACCCCATGAGTCCTGGAGAGCAAATCCCACTCTGATAAGGCCCTGATGAGTCTGCTGCAGCCTGGCAGCCTGCTATCTCTTGGGAGGTGACAAAAGTGAGCAGTGACAGTGTTTGATCTCCAGCTACCACCTTCATGGAAGGTCTCATGGAGACAATTTATCCTCCCTGGAGCAGAGATGCTGGCCCTGGCAGCTCCCAGGCTGTGCTGGTACCTAGAGCACACAGCTGCCAGCTGCCAGCCCCGTGTCCCAGTGCCCCCAGGGGTTACTGGGCCATGCTGGTGCCCCCAGGGAGGCAGTGCCCACCTGCCACGCCGAAGGGCCTGCGGAGCCCGCAGGTGTGCTTCTTGCCATCCTTCAGCTCCATGTGCCCCACCCGCACGATCTGGCACACCAGGCTGATCCTGGGCCTGATCAGGTCAGAGCTGCTCAAGTCCTAAAAAAGAGTTCACATCAACTGCCATCAATGTCCTTGCTGAGTGGAAAAGAAGGAAGAAGGAGAGAGGGAGGAAGGGAAGAAGGGAGGGTATAGTAGAAACAGGTGATGCCCCAGCCAGGGAATAAGGTGCTCTGACTCCATGATTTCAGAAGGCTGAACAATTGCTTGATCAAGCTATACTATATTACACTAATACTATACTAAATTACATACTAAAGAGATAATATACTAAAGAGATACTATATTGGCTGTCCCCGGAGGTCCAAACTCTGCTGCAGAGACTGCAAAGAATTCCATATTTCCATCATATTTTATATTTCCACTACGAACAAACACGGGTGATTTAGTTCTGCTGCCAGGAGAGCACAACATTAAGAAGAATATAAAACCTGAAAAACTCAGTGACTGAAGAGGGCAAACCAGGGACACTAGAGGTACCTTCTCCTCCTGGATCCTCTCATCAATCCTCTTGGATGCAGTTTCATGGGCCTTGAAGAGGGAGATTGTGCTGGTCTCATCTGGGTCCAGGATGTTCCCGTTGTCATCTCGGACAACCAGGTCCAGACCCAGGATCCTGGACAGCCCCAGGAGACAAAAAAACAGCCAGAATGTGGGAGCAGCAAAGATCAAATCACTGCCCCTGCTGCCAGTGCTCAACATCTCACTAAGTGCAATTGCCTCACTCACTGCTGGTTTTCCTGCCTCAAAAAACTCCTCCCTCCCATTTTCCCATTAAAGGGAGAAGGAATTAGCCACCTCAATCCTAAGGTGACATCTCCCTTATTCCTGCTTAAATGGCTTCGTTTCAAAGGTGGATGAATATCTACCAAGCTCACAGATTGCAGCTGATTGTTATTCTTTGCCATAAGCTACTTCTTAATTCACTTACTGGACCTGAATCAGAGCTGACAGGCAGATAAATGAGTCCAGGAGACTGCAAACCACCGAGGGCTGGGGTGTCTGTGGAATCCTGCCCCTCAGCTGCTGATAAAGCAGAGCATTTCCCCACCACATCCAGACCCAGGCACACACTGTGCTGCAAGGGAAAGGCCACCCTGTGCCAGGACTTGTGCAGAATTAAGAGAGGAGAATTCCTGCCAAGGCACAGAGATCTGTGGCACACCAAGAACCAACTGCTCCATGTCCACCTGCCATGGCCATGTTGTCACAGGGACAAAGCTGCCATTTCACCTCATTTCAGCCCAATTCAGTGCCTGATTTTGCATTAAGAGCCTTCCCTGGGGTTTGGGATCCTCCTCTGCCCTCCAGGTGGAGTTTGGAGCTCACCTGTTGCCATAGTCAATCTTGGCAGTGACTTTTTTCTTGAGCTCAGCCAGCTCATCCTTGGGCAGGGTCCCGGAGAGGATTTGGGATCTCCACTCTATCAGGCTGTAGGTGAGCTGCTGGACGTGCCTGAACTGCGTGGTTTTGTTGTTCTGAGGCAAAAAAAAAAAAAAAAAAAGGCAATTTTAATCAAGGAAAACCTGGGAACCTTAGCTCAGCAACCCTTCTGAAATGTGTGCAGCTGCAGAACCACACAAGTTTTATATAACTAAAAATACCTGGCACTTTGTGACAACACGAGATCAGAGCCATGCAGTAAATTCTGCAGCACTTGGCACTGCCAAGGTTTAAGTGCCTTTAAGATCTTTAAGTGTCTTTAAGGGCTTCACCTTTCCCTGGGGCATTATTTCAGAAAAACCTCACCCACTAAAAATAGACCTCTGGTGATTTCCAGCACTTCCAGACTGCTGTGATGGAGGTTTTTTATAAAGGGGACAGAGAAATGATGTTAAAGGACCACAGCTGAACAAGGACACTGAACAAAGCCTGCCTGGTGAAGAGTCCCCTCCTGCCATTCCTTCTGTTACCATCTCTAATTAATGAAAACACTTCCCATGCCCTTCACTGGTTGCACCCTCATAAAATCAGTCCCATCCCCAGACCTTGTTCCTGCACCTCCAAGCTCCAAGGCTGTAATTAAACATGGATATGTGGTAACCCACCCTGCACAGATAAGTAAACAAGCTTTTCAAGTGTCAGGGAAAACATTTAACCCGTTAAAAAGAGAGCCCAGGCTTCTCTCCCTCTCTGCCACCTCAGAGGGGCAGCTCCTGGGAGGATTTTGACCCTTTTCACAGGGAAGTGCCACAGATTTGAGTTACAGGCACAGTGATGAGGTTATTCAGCTCCAAAGGAGAAATTTCAGCCTAATTCAGTGCCTGGTTTAGCATTAAGAGCCTTGCCTGGGGTTTGAGAGCCCAAAGCCCAGGAGCTGGGTTTGGGTCACATCTCCCCCAGCCAGGGCCACCTTCTGGTGCTCACTGGGGGCTGGAGCTGTTCATGGTGAGCTACAAACCCCCTGCTTCCACCCAGCACAAAAAGAACCTAATTGCAATTATCTCCCCGTTCTCATCTCTGCAATGAACAGGAATGATACCAACTACTCATATTTCCCTCGAATTTAAAGGTATGAAAACAATCCTCCCTTTGGTGTGGGTGAACGCCAAGGTGCTGACGGGGGCTGCTTGAGTTTTTAGCTCTACAGAAAGGATTACCTGAGATATATTTCATAAACAAAAATACTCCCCATGTTCTTGTGTAAAAAAACTTGCAAAGAAAAGGCAGTTTGTGTGAATTTCCAGAGCAGACCTCAATTTGACCTGAGTTATCTCCACAGCTAATTCCTATTAACTAAACCAATTAAAAACTCTCCCCATTTTTGTATTTATTTTGCAGTGGAGATAAAGCCACTGCTGCAATGAAACCCACAGAAATTAAAGAAGTGAAATTAAATGCTGCCAAAATAAAAAATCCCCTCATGTTTCCTTTTTCTCCTCAAATGCCTCCTTCCTCCTTTAGCTTTTAAAAAAAATTCTTTTAATACATACTGCAGGGAAAATAAAATAAACTCCAATCCATTTTAAACCACAACATTTTCCAAACCTATTTTAAGACTTATAGTGGTTAAGCAGAGGAACATGAAAGATTTCTTCTTGTTAAAAAAAAACAGATTCTGAGGCTGGGATCTGAAAGTTATTCAGAAATAAAAAATGCCAGGAACAAAACTCTCTTTTCACACAGTAATACCATCACGTAGACGTTCTCATTAAATTGAGAGGGTGGAACAAATTCTTGTGGTTTCGTGGCACACAAACACAACTTACTTGTGGCCTGGTGAAATTTCCAATAGGAAATCTTGCTCTGGGTGCACTGGATGATTAGAGCTCATTTAAACTCACTCCCTCTTCTTAATTAAAGCATTGGAACACATTTTGTGCAGGCTGAACTCGTTACTGCTCAGAGAAAAATCAAATTTGACTCTTTAATGTGCCTTTAAAACAAAGCAACTCCCTGTGGACTTATTTCTTTGAGCAAGAAGCACCTGCTGCAGGACAGTCCTGAGATCCCTGCGGTGCCAGGCGTGTGACACTGCTGAGGTGACCCTGCTCAGGCTTCAGGACATGAGAGCTCCTTCCCCGCCCTGCTGAGAGCCCCAGGCATGGAGGCCTTGGAGCAGCCCAGGAATTCCTTCTGTGGACCCAGGGATGGCTGGGGCTGTGCCGGGGAGGGCCAGGCTGGGTTTTGGGGAAGCGTTTTTCCCTCAGAGGTGCTGGCACTGCCCAGGGAATGGGCACGGCCCAAGGCTGCCAGAGCTCCAGGAGCCTTTGGGCCCCGCTCCAGGGATGCCCAGGGTGGGATTTGGGGTGTCTGTGCAGGGCCTGGGGCTGCATCAGTGATCCCTTCCAGCCCAGGACATTCCATGATGTGGTTTTTGACAAGCCACATCTCCCCCCACAAGACACCCCTGGTTCTGTGCCTTCCCCTGCTCTGCTCCCCAGGGACACTGGGTGGGGATCAGCCAGCCATGGAGCTCCCACACCACTCCCAGCCCAGCAGAGCTCACCCCTGCCCACAGCAGTGCCCAAACCCCAGATCTGTGCCCAGCTGGGTTTTCCTGCCCTCATTCAGAGCTGGCACACCACAGGCAGATCAGGGCCTGGATTTCCAGGTGAGCTGGGCCTCCCAGCCAGCCCTGACACGGTGCCAGTGTGACCTGGGCCAGGCCCTGCTGCCCCAGGGCAGTGTCACCCACAGTTACTCCCCTGCACACACACACAGCTCCTGGGCACTCACCACGTACAGCTTGTGCCAGATCACTGCCCACTCCCGCAGCGTGGCTGTCAGCTCCTGGCCAAGGGGCAGCTCGCTGGGAATCACGGTCTCGTGCTGCCTGGGGAGAGAAGGGACACAACCAGAGAAAGGCTTCACACTCAGGGTTAAAACTGAATGGAAAACACCCGTTTTTGATAAATGTAAAAATGGAAATTCCAGAGGAGTTGATGTTCACACAATTCACTCACACATGATGTCAAGACCCTTAAGCTGTTCTCAGCACACACATCCACATTCATCATCCATTTTTAATGCAAAATGCTGCAAGCTCCTTTCACTCCTCTTACTCCTAGTGGATCTGTTCCAAACACAGCATGAAGTTTGGAAGAATCCCCACTTGCAATGGTAACAGTTATGTGAAAATAAGAGTTGAAAAAGAAGTGTTTTATAAAGTTCCTTCCTTTGCAGCCGCTGTTTTGCTCTCAGTTAATGAGCACAGACCCAGCTCAAGGAATCCAAGGAGGGGTAATTTCCTCCAGTGTTTTCCAAGACAGGAAGGAATCCACGCTCCTGCTGGGCCTTGGCTGCCAGCAGGAGTGTGTTATGACTTGCAGGAGTCCCCAGGGGAGCTGGATGGAGCTGGACTCACCCTCCCCATCACTGACTTGTCCAGCAGAGCTTCCTTAACTCTGCAAATCATCTCCTGCTGCCCCTACTCCCGACTGCTCTGCTTACTCAGTGCTTTGAAAAATGGAATCATGCAGCGCTAGTCCAGCTCAGGAGGTACAGCCTGGGTTTGTGACAGCCACAGCTATTTAAATTGGTTATTTTGGGGTTTAAATGGAATGAAATTCCCTGGGTTTTGCTGCCAAAGAAGTGCCAACCTACCCCCGGTCCTTCACGATGGCCTCTTTTAAATGGATGTAAGTTTCTGGGAAAATGCCCTAAAAATAAGGAGAGAAATGAAATAAATCAATCCTACTGTGGGATAGGATGTGACAAGAAGATATTTAATAAAAAACAGGGGAAAGGAGTAAGAAATGTCTCAGAATGCCAGGAAAAAAGGACAGGGAGGAGCAGCAGGTACCACATTGGCAACTCAAGAGAATCTGATTCCTTGTTTTACTCCAATGACCCTCATCATCCTGCAGGAAATGCTGGAAATTCCTGAAAATGATCAGTCGTTGCCATGAAATATTCCTGGAGTCCTCTGTCAGGCTACTCTGTGCTCCCTAGAAAAGCTCCCTCCACCAGCATCTGCAGAAATTCCCAAATTTTTGTTCCTTCTGGAAATGCTGGAATCCTTTTCTGTCCCCTTTTCTCTCCTCTTTACCCCTGAAAGCAGAGGCTGTAGGGGATGTTACACAGGAGAGGTGCCAGCACTCCTGGGAGAACCTGGATTTCCAGGCAGCTTCCAGCCCAAGCTCCAGCAGCTTGGCTGAGAGCCAGGGATGTGTAATTTCTGGAATGTTTTCCAGTCAAAACTCTGATATTCCCATTAAATAGAACTAATGCTGGATGTGCACAGGTCCCAGAGCATCATGATAAAGCAATAAACTCCTGTATGGAGATGGGAACAGGTAATTCTGGAAGTTCCAACTGCATTCCTCATGCTTCCAGTGGAGGAATTCCCAACACATGGCTCTGAACTTTCAGCTCAAGGTCACTGACTTCTGTCACTGAGGACAGGACACTGTGGCCAGGAGTCCTGCCGGAGGTTAAGACAAGAAATGCAGGAGTTTTCAGCACCAGATGGGGTCTGGCAAGGAGTGAAATTTAAATGGGAGTCACCCAAAAGTGAGGTCGTACCTTCTTGGATTTATTTCGGAGTGTGTATCCTCGGTACCAGCCTGGCAAAACAAACACAGATATTTGTATTTAATTATTTCCTGTTGACAGCAATTAAATACAAATTGTGATTCCCACCACCTTTCTACAACACCAATTTATTGAGCTTTTCATCTGGGATCCACTCCTGGGAAGACACCTCTGTTTGTAGGAGCTGAGCTCCCTGCCCTGGCACAAACCCTGTTTATCAATCCCACCTTGGTAAGATCTAAAGATTGTAAGACAGAAGCAATAATTGTGCTGCCCAGGCCTCAGGAGCAAATGTCTCTGAGAGAACATTTCTCCTCTCTTTGGCACCTGGGTTTTAACCAGGATTTCCATGGGTTGGGTTGGGTTGGGAGGGACATTAAAGCCCATCCAAGGAGATTATGTCCAGCTGAGTGGCAGCATCAAGAAGGCAAAGGGGTTTAAGGGAATAATCAGGCAAAGAGGAGGCTGATTTCTCTGGGTTTGTTCTAAATTTTTTTTATTGTTTTATTGTTGGTCCCCCCAATATTCCTGTATTTGTCAAAGAAGGTTCCATAAAGAACCATGGATCTGACACTCCTCAACCATTAATTAGAGATTAGAATGGTTTAATTCGTATTTTATTAAGTATTTTTATGTGCATGTGGTTGTATTTCTATTTATTTGTGTTCTGAAGTGCAGCTTTGTGCCCTTCCTCCAGCAATGGGGAGGTACCTCCACCTCAAAAACTCTAACATTCCAGTAATAAGTTAGGAGGGAAGAAATTCCATTTCTTTCCACAGGAGGAAAACAAGATTACCCATTGCTCATGGAGCCATGGATGAGGTCCTGGATTAGGGATGAGAAGATTTAGGTTCTATTTTTATCTAAGTTGTCATTAATTGAAGGGGAAAGCACAAATTACTCAGGGTGGGAGACAAAGCTGATGGAATTTACTGGGGGGATTTTGATCCCATTTAACACATTCAGCCCTTTGACAGCACAACTTCCTCCTGTTTCAAAGGGCCCCCTGGCCTTCCCCCCATTCCTGTAAAATATTTTGCAATCATTGCATAAAAGCACGTTGGGCCTGATTGTGCAAAGCTGTTTCTGCAAGCACCTCATGCAACTTCTGTCGGAATTCTGCTCCCACCTTCAATAACTTTACCCATCACTTCAAAAGGAACATCAGTCGTTGGGCAGTGGTCAATTAATCACATGATTTCTTCTTAAAAAAAAAAAAAACAAAAACCCAAAATCTTAAATCTTCAGAGGAACAAGGCTGTTTAAGTGTTTGAGTATTTTCCCCAAGCAGAGATGGGCTAAAAACAGAGAAGGGTTTTGCAGTTGATGAGGACATGGAAAATTTCAGCTGCTCCAACACTCAGACTGAAATCTGAGCAAAAACAAAAATATAAGCAGACTTGTAAAGAAATGACTCAAAGTTTGGGGTTGTTGTTTTGTTGGGGTTTTTTCATTGATCAAGTCCTCAACTTTACCCTTCACTAAGTGGATTTTATGGAGTATGGAAAAGAAAAATCTAAGGACAACACTCCAGCGATGATCAAGCTCTCCGCAGTGATGCAAGGCCAGGTCACGTGTGGGACCACAAGGTCCCTGTTCCTCCTCCTCGGGGCCTCTCCTGTCCCACAGCACTCAGGGCATTGCTTCACCCTCCCCAGGGGTGACTGAAACCAGCAACAAATTCAAGGTAAACTTCTTTTCAGCAGGACCAGAACCTGCCAGGGTCACGCTATGTGAGCACACATTCCTTCCACCCACAGCGTGGCTTTTCCCACAGCTCCCCTGAAATCCTGCAGTTAACAAGAATGATAAATCCTGCAGATTGGGAGAGATTCCCCTCAACAGCAGTGTCCTCCCAGCTCCCTGCTCAAGGACAGCCTCCCTGCAGCCTCCCAAGTCCTGGAAGCAGCAAGGCTCCCTCCCTTTCCTGGACTCTGCAGCACGGGCCGAACCCTTGGCAGGCAGGAGGAGCACGCACTGCGTGTCTGCTTGTCGGGGGAAGGAGAAACCTTGTACAAGGAGCTCGTGCCTTTCTGCAGGCAGAGGGAGGGGAAAACAAAACCGTGCTCTGCAGTGTGGGACCTGAACTAACAACCCTGGGCTCTGCAGTGGGTTTGGCTGTATTTGTGTAAAAGGAAAAGGGATCCAAGAAAAGAGATCTGAGAACCCGCAGGTGTCCTACACAGATTGTCACTGGCACATAGAAGAATCCCTGGAAGTGTTTCCATCCCTGGAAAGATCCAAGGCCAGGCTGGAGCAACCTGGAATAGTGGAAGGTGTCCCTGCCCATGGCAAGGGGTGGGACAGGATGATTTTAACGTCCCTTCCAACCCAACCATTCAATGGACATCAGCTTGGACTGGAAATATGTGGAACGTTCAGTTCACACTGCTCAGCCTGTGCTTTCCCTCTGACGTCCTTCCCTATGTCCTTTGTCCAAGCTGGAGCTGAATTTCCAGAGATATCACCCCCTGATGAATCCCTGGCACAGGGGAGCTGCAGGTCAGAAAAATGAATCAATCATCCCCTGTGTTATCCCCCTCTGTTATTCCCCGCCATGTTATTCCCCTTATGTTATCCCCACTGTGTGATCCCCAGTCTTCTCACCCCCTGTGTGATCCCCTCTGTGTTATCCCCCTCTGTTATTCCCCATGTTATTCCCCTTGTGTTATCCCCACTGTGTGATCCCTACTATGTTATCCCCCTTGTGTGATCCCCTTCATGTGATCACCCCTTGTGTGATCCCCCCTGTGTTATCACCCCCTGTGTGATCCCCCCTGTGTTATCACCCACTGTGTGATCCTCCCTCTGTTATCACCCCCAAATCTTCCCAGCTGCACTCACCATCCACACCAACTGCATCAGCCTAACTTGGAAACTGGGGCTTGGAAAACAAGAAGCAAAGCGTGTTCAGAGCCTCAGCCCCAGTCTGGGTGGGATTTTGGGGTGTCTGTGCAGGGCCAGGGTTGGGCTGGATGATCCCTGTGGGTCCCTTACTCTCAGGATATTTTGTGATTCCAGCCTTTGCAGTGGCAGCAGAACTGAACAGGGATTTTGCAATTTCAAGAAGTTTCCTGGCACTGTGAGGCAGCACAGGAGCAGCACCTGACTGCAGGAACTGCCCAGAGGATTTGGGAGCCACCTCAGGAGAGGTTTGTGCAGCCCAGAACTGCCCCAAAGTGCACCCAAAATTCCCTTTATTGCCTGTGCCTGAGCCCCCAGAGCAGCTTAGCTGTCTCAGTGTTGTGTCTGGCAGCCCTGGGAGCAGATAACATTTACTGCAAACACCAACCCCAGCACACATCCCAGGATTGCTGCTCTTGGCAGGAACATGCCATGGATCCACCTGGATGGATCCCTGCAGAGCCAGAACCCCAGAGCACAGAGAGCTCCCACCTGGCTCCTGCCAGCAGCAGGAAATGCAGGAATGTTCTGGATCAGGGGAGCAGCAGCCCTGGGGACACAGTGGGATGTGCTCCTGAGCACCCTGAGCTGGGCAATGACAGCCACAACACCCAGGGGCTGCTGGACCCAGAGCCTCTGGGCAGCCCCAAACTCCCCTGAAGCCCCAAGGAATGGCACTGCCAGCCTGGGGAACGCCCTCAGCTACGGGCAGGGCAAGGGGAGCCAAGAATGACTGCACAGGGCATCCCCAACCCCAAAAATGACTGCACAGGGCATCCCCAGCCCAAAAATGACTGCACAGGGCATCCCCAACCCCAAAAATGACTCCACAGGGCATCATCCAACCCCAAAAAATAACTACCCAGGGAATCTCCCAGACCCAAAAAATGCCTTCACAGGGTTTCCTCCTCCCAGCCCCAAAGAATTATTTTATAGGGTATCTCTCAACGCCCAAAAATGATTTCACAGGGCTTGTCCCAACCCCCAAAAATTTCACATATTTCACTATTTCACATATTTCCCATATTCACATATTTCATTATTTCACAGGGCATCTCCCAGACCCCAAAAAATGACTCCACAGGGCATCATCCAATCCCAAAAAAATACACCACAGGGCACGTCCCAACCCTCCAAAAAATGACTTCATGGGGAATCTCCCAGCCCCAAAAAATGACTCCACAGGGCATCTCCAGCCTTTCCTCCCACAGAGCCCCTGCCCTGGTTCCATGGAAACTTTTCCTCAGTCGAGGCTTGTGTGTCCAGATAAGAGCAGTGATTAGAGGAACAAAACCAGTTTTTATCAGCTCTGGTGGTGAGCAGGCAGCATCAGCACGAAAAGTAGCAGAAAAAGCCTCTTGTGAGAACATTTATCCTCAAAACCAGAGCTACAGAGAGCTGGGAACACAGCTGAGAGCTGATGTCCCAAAAAAAGAGATTCAGGAAGACACAAGCTCCTCCCAGGCAGGCAGAATATCAGATGGGGAGGGGTGGAGGTGATTTTACAGGAAATTAGAGCAGACCCACAGCAGAGTCACCATCTCTGCATCTCCTCCTGTACACTCTCAACTGTCTGGCCTGGATTTCTGGCTGCTCTTGCTGGGAAAAAGGGATTTTTGGTGCCCTGCAGGAATTCTGAGGTGCCTCAGCCACAGATTCCTGCTCCCCACTGATGGCTCAGCATATGGGAACCATCACTTTCCCCTTCACACATGAAAACATTCACGTCTTTCCCAAACTATTCACAGGCAATTTTCTCCTGACAGAGCTCCAAACTGGGAGATTTCAGGCCAAAAAAAGGGTGCCATTTATGTATTCATTCCCTGTTCCTGTCTCTGCTGAACCGATTACAAGAAATAGGGGTTGAACAATGACAACAAAATTAAAAATAGGGATAAAGAAGTAAATCCCCCCAAATTTTGGCAAGTCCAAGACACCTCCTCTTCCTGAGGGAGTTTTCCTCCTTCTGCCCTGTGTCTTTTTGCAGAGCCATGTCATAAATCAGTGATTTCTACAGGGTATTTCCCCTTTTCCCCTCTCCTCCATCACGATCACCCAGAGAGGGGTAAAACCATGACAGACTCTGCCAGGACTGGGAGCTGCTCCTGAGGATGGAAAGGGAACAAAGGGCCAAGAAGAAATTGCTAAAGGAGCAGCTCCCTGTTCTCAGTGCTGAGCCAGAGCACAGACTCTTCATTCAAATTGATGCTGCTTGTGGAAATAATTGGATTTATATTTTACCTTTGAGTTTTGGAGAGGGAAGCAGTGACCAGAGCATTCCTTAAAATGATTGAATGGCTCTGTTTCAGTCTTAATATTGAAATCTTTGTCAAAGAGTCAAATTTGATAGGGAGAGTTGAAACACTCAAGTGTCATTTTAATCTTTAAATTAAGAATTTTGTTTACTTTGTGGTTTACATTAAGGTATTATGAAAAATGTCCCAGTGAAGGACTAGGAGAAACAGCCAAGAAAGGGCATGGAGGCTCCACAACTGGAGCATTTTAAGAACATTTAATGCCAGTTTGTGATATTACAACTCAAAACAACCTGAATTATGAAATAATCAGCCCTTCCCTCTCCTTTTCTGTTATGCACTCAGATCAAGAATTAACTCAGGTTAAGAGCTAGGGGTTTTTTTGAAATTATTATTCTTATTTTCCAGCAGTATCAGTTCATCCCATGAGCACAGGTGCCTGGCCTGGCCCAAAGAGGAGCCAGAGCAAAGAGGTGAAAACCAGCAGTGAACAGCCCAAATTCAATGTTTCTTTCTCTTTTAGTGCCGCCTTGAGATACTGGTGAAACCTTACCCTGATAAATTCTGCCTGGAACAGCACAGAGATGAGAAACCCTCTGCACTTCTACATTTTTAACACTACTTTAAAAATCAAGAGGCTACAGCAGCCACTACGCACCCAATTTGTGCTTTGGGGTGTAAGAGAAGTTGAAAATACCGATCTAAAATTTGAAAAAGAATCTTGATTTGTTCCTATTTTCCTTTCAAACCCCCTGTGAGCTGCACCTACCTTCGTACATCTCCAGGATGTGAACAGTGTCCCCCACCTGCAGGGACAGCTCCACGTCCTGCACGGCCTCATAGTTGTAGATGGCTGAAAAATAGGAAGAAAAGGGGCAAAAGAGAACCATGAGGGAATTAGCTTTGGGAAAAGAATAAAGGGATGCAGTCACCCTGGGTATGGAATACACTGGGAAAGGACATCATGGATCTATTTCCAGATTTTATCATGAAGTATCACTAACAGACAACAAAGGTGGGGTTTTACCTTCCAGACAGGCCTGGGACACTTCTGGAGGAGCTGAGCATTCCCACTTTGCCAAAAACCTGCCCTCAGAGCTCACCACCCCCTCAGGCACAACAATTCTGGAATTATCAGTTTTTAGTCTTCCTCAGGAGTAACGCCAGCATCAGAAAACATCAGAAATGGGATGTTAATAAAAACCACCCCCATTCCAGACTAAAACACTCCTTTCACAACCAAATCACACTTGTTTGCTGCTAAAGGCTCTGCCCAGCCAAGAACCAATTTTAGAACCAAAACTTGGGATTCTGTGCCAAATTAATCCCTCCCAAAGACAAAGTTAAGCTGGATGCTTATGGGATTTCCAGGGGGAATAGGATTAAGTGCAGAAGCCCACACTCCTGGAGTGCCTTTTTTCCCTGGGACCTGCTACAGCTTCACTGGCCAAAGCAGAGCCCTCCCTGGCACCAGGCAAGAAAGTTTAAATTAAATTTGCTTTTAAACCAAGTAAAAAGACATAAAATCAGTGAAATGCTTTGCTGGGTTCAAGGAATTGTCAGCAAAGCCAGAGCAGACCAAACCCAGACCACCTAAATACTGATTTAAGAATAGATCACATCCTAAATGCAGCAATGGAATCTTCCCAAACACAAAATTCCCATATTTATGTATCCCTGAGGAAATTCATTGGTGAAGAACCACATTTGTTTTTAAGAAAGCAAAAAAATCACCCAAACATTTTCAGAGGAGGATTCTTGAGACTTCCCAAGGTTTGTGTTTGAGCTCTGGACTGGGACTGAAATAAATAAATAAAAACCAGAGCTCTTCTGCCAGGAAATTCCCATGAAGTGCTCCCACTCCCAGGGGGATGAGGTGCTCTGCCTCCTGGCAGGGCTCCAGCACAGCCTGGGGCTTTCACCACCGGGAATTCTCTCCCAGAACGAAGCTTTCTAGAAAATATTTGGCTACAAATATCCCAGCAGGAGCAGGCTGGGGATGTGCATCCCTGCAGGACCCCTGGTCCCAAGCAGGGACAGCTTCCTCTGCTGCAGGGATTTGTCCCCAGGGCCCCAGTTTGTGTCACAGACACATGGACAATGCACTGAACCCATGATTTCCACAGGATTACAGGAATTTTACTGGATTTCTGCTCCTGAGAGCTGCTTCCACACTCACCTTCCTCTCCCTCCCCACAAAGGGGCTGGAAATCAGGATTTTAAAGCTGACTGGTGAGCTGGGTGTGCAGCTCTGACACCTTAAAGATCCCAGAACTGGCACAGAAGTAAAAACTCCATTCACACCCTAACAGAAAAATCTGGATAATGCTCATGGCCAAAGCGGAACGTGAATGAGAAGCGTGGAGTGGTTTGGGTTGGGAGATATTTAAATCCCACCCAGCGCCAGCCTTGGCAGGGCAGGGACACCTCCCACTGTCCCAGGGGGCTCCAGCCTGGCCTTGGGCACTGCCAGGGATCCAGGGGCAGCCACAGCTGCTCTGGGAATTCCATCCCAGCCCCTCCCACCCTCACAGCCAGGAATTCCTTCCCAATCTCCCATCCATCCCTGCCCTCTGGCAATGGGAGCCATTCTCTGTGTCCTGTCCCTCCATCCCTTGACCCCAGTCCCTCTCCAGCTCTCCTGGAGCCCCTTCAGGCCCTGCAAGGGGCTCTGAGCTCTCCCTGGAGCCTTCTCCTCTCCAGGTGAGCATTCCCAGCTCTCCTTTCTCCAGGTGACATTCCCAGCTCTCCCTGGATCTCTCCCCTCTCCAGGTGACATTCCCAGCTCTCCCCTCTCCAGGTGACATTCCCAGCTCTCCCCTCTCCAGGTGACACTCCCAGCTCTCCCGGCCCTGCAGAGGGGTTCCAGCCCCGGAGCACCCCCAGCTCCCCTCTGGCCTGGCCCAGGGATGCCCCACCCAGGGATTCCCACACACAATCCCCACATGCCCCGACTTTTTCTGGGACAATCACTCATTATACAAATACCAGGCTGCATTTTTCCCATAAACTGCTGCCCAGGGAAAGGTGGGTGGACACAGCCCCAGCCTTTCTGTGGGAACACAGAGTGAATTCAGCCCAAAGAGCACCAGGGAGGACCCAGCCGTTCCTTCCCCTTCCCAAAGATCACAGCAGCCACAAGACAGAGCTGACCCCTGCTCTCCCCTTGCCTGCTCCACCAGGCAGGTTTCACATCCCAACATGCAGCATTTACAACCTGGAGGAACTCCCACATCAAAAAAAAAAAAAAAAAAAAAAAAAAAAAAAAAAAAAAACAAAAAAGGTCAATTTTATCTTTCCTTGCCTTGCCAGACTGAACTAAGCCAGAACAGAGGGTCACTGTCTGAAACGTCCTCCCTCGTGCTCTTGTACAAGATTATAAAAGACAAATTGCTGGCATATTTTCCCTGGGAACTTTGCTGGTTGCAAGTGATGTTTCCTGCTGCTGGAAGTCGGAGCAGTCCTCAGCCATCCCATCTGCAGGGATTTGTGCTGTGAGCCCCCTCCGTGACCTCTCACTGACTTGAAAGGAAAAGGAAGCTTCACAGCACAAACATGGGCATGGTGTGGAAAAATAAAACCCCTTCACTTAAATCCTGACAGAGCAGCAAGAAAGGAAGAAGGAAAAATAATACAGGGACTTTTGTATTCAAATTTGCAGCAATATCTGAAGTTAAGTCTTTTTGCTCCGAGCTAAACTTCAGCTGTGATTTTGTCCTTTGAAATTCACTTCAGAGTGCTGATCCTGCTCCTTTTATCATCCCAGATGAAAAGCAACACTGAAATTGAGGAAATTTAATCCAAATAAGGAGGTAGGGGTGGGAAACACGAGCCTGGGTTTGTTTAATGATCATTTCTTCGAGCACAACTGGCGGCAACATCTCATTGTGTCTGGTTTAGTGCTTCAGTTTGGTTAAAAGGTGAAGAATGTGTTTTCCAAGTGCACCCAGCCCATGGAATCCATCAGGATTGGAAAGGGCAGCAGATAATTCCATGAGCAGTTGATTTTATGGCACAGCCAGGGCCAGAAGGTGAAGATAAGCAGCAATTTTCATGCTCCAGGGCAGAGGGTGATTCCTCAGCGGGGCTGGAGGAGGAGCCCTGAGGGCACTGCACAACCTCGGGGGATGCTCTGCCCCAAAGTCACCCCAGAACCGACACTGCACAGTGGCAAAGGGAAGCTGGCAGAGCCTGGGCTCCCCAGGGCTCAGGAGGGTGGCTCAGGGAGCAGGTCTGGCCCTGTCACTGCCCTGGGCCACCAGGCCAGCCCAGCCCCGAGCCACGGCACCCACAGCAGCACCCGCACAGGACACGGCCTCAGCGCCAGGCACGGGCACAGAACAAAAGTACAGCTCTACTGCAGGTGAAAACCCCCAAAACACACTTTAAATCCCACAGAGCTCCTCTTTGTGCAAGAGCCCCGGGAGAAGCCTCAGTGTGCAAGAGGTCTGTGAGCAGCTCATGGAAGCTGGGCTCGGTGGAACCAGGGACAGATGTGGCGTTTCAGGAGGAATGGCTTCAAAGTGACAGAGGGGAGGGTTAAGTGGGATATTGGGAAGGAATTCCTCCCTGTGAGGGTGGTCTGGAGTTCCCACAGAATGTGTGGCCCTATCCCTGGAAGTGTCCAAGGCCAGGCTGGAGCAGCCTGGGATAGGGGAAGGTGTCCCTGCCATGGCAGGGGTGGGATGGGATGAGCTGTTAAGTCTCTTCCAACCCAATCATTCCATGATTCCATGCTTCTGTTAATTCCATTTTGCCCACAGATTCATTCCTATTCAAGACTGCCCTAAAGGCCAAGCTGGGCTAAAACGCCTCAAAATGCAAAGAGAAGCAAGCAGCAACTGTCACACACAATTTCTGTGTAACTCAGATCAGAAGGAAATGGAATCTTTGCCTCCACGAGGGCACTTGAAATGTGCATTACTGGCCTGGAAAACAGAGCCCCTGCAAGATCCATTATCTCTGAGCTGGCTCTGAACCCTCCCTGCCCCACCCAGCACAAAGACACAACAACCCTGTCCAAATGCCACGTCCTGCTCCCCCTGCCCTCCCCTCTGCCAGCAGGGGCTGGGACTGCTCCCCCGAACAAAGGATTCCATTCAGCGCCCTGCAGGAGCTCATTCCATCCCTCAGCCCCACACCAAACCCCACAGCACAGAACCAGAGTGATCTGATCTCTGCTGCAGCACTCAGGAATGGCCTTTCTGCAGGACAGCCCCACTCGGAGGAGCCTGGGATGGTCCCTGGTGCCAAGATCCAGCCAAAAACACAGTGGCTTTATTTAAAAAACAAGGAACTACCCAAGGAATTAGTTCTTCAGAGGAACAAAGTCTTTTTTATGTATGGAGCAAAAACATTCTGGTAACTTCCCAGGAATTTGTGTCTGACAAACTGAGAATGGCATAATTAAGATTTAGATGTCCGTCTACTTTTCTGCTTCAAAATAAAAAAAAGTAATTCATGGTTCAACAGTGGGAATACGGACATTTAGTCACTGTTATGAAAAAATTCCCACTCTTGGATGGTGGTTGCTGCCATTCACACCAATTCCAAAAGTTCTGAGTGAGTGCTGAGCATTTGGGATGTCAGTGACTCAGATTTAATGGGATTATGCAGCTGGAAATGCTTTCATTAACAGCCACCTTTAGACAGCAGAGTCCAGTCTCTGAGGAGCTCAGGTGGACTATCCCTGCCCAGGGAATGAGAGGCTCTTTAAGGTCCTTTCCACCCCAAAATCCCTGGAATTCTGCGGGTTTATGACTTTAGCACCTTGTGCACTCACTGGTCCAGGCTGACCCCACACAATGAATGCACTCAACATTTTTAAACTGGGTTATCTCAAAAATGAGCATT